ATTTTTATATAAGTAATTTAATACAATATATTACACTTTAGGTAATGAATTTTGTCTCATTTTAATGTGTAGACTACGGAGTTTCAACGGGAACCAACCGTTTGGGAGGTTGTTGAGAGGACAAAGAAATTAAAGACTGGACAATGGGTCAATGAAAAAACTCGTTATCTTGCTGTATGTTTAACATCTAAGTTATAGTTTATTATTCAATATATGTTTTCTTCATAATAATTATATTTCACTTCATTTTTAGGAACAATATATGCAGCGCAGAGAAGAAGTCCATCAACATAACTTGTGTGAAGGCTCATCTTCACAAGAGTCTCCTATTGTCTCTGTTGATGATAATCAAATATACATTTCAGTTGTTGGAGGTGAAAATAAAAAAGGAAATGTGTATGGACTTGGTACATTGAGCAAAAAGTTCACTACTACATCAGGTTCTCAATCTTCTATTACTCAAACTCCAGTACTTCATCAAATTGAACAAATGCGTGAGACTATTGAAAAGTTAAATGCTGAATTGGAGGCAAAGCATAATAAGGAGAAGACACTTGAAGAAGAGATGCAGGAGTTGAGGAACAGCCAACGCCAACAAGATGAGCAGATGAAGCTTATTTTACAACATATTCAAATGAATAGTCATCCTACTACAAGTCAACATGACACTGACAATATACCAGAGGACTAATTTTCAATTTTATGATATTAAGACTTTGAATCTTGATTAGTTGTTAAGTTCTTAAGTTTCATTTGTGTTATGTTTGGATGAATTAAGCAGGTACAAATTTTATGATTTGAATAATTTGACTTTAGTTCTTAAGTTTTCATTTGTGTTATGTTTGGATGAATTAAGCAGGTACAAATTTTGTCAAATTGGATATACAAAATTTTAAACGAAAATTTTCAGATTTGGTTAGATTAGCGACCAAATTTTTGGTCGCTACAAATTTATTATAATATACAATTCAAATTTAGCAACCGATTTAAATTATTAGTTAAATAATTCAATTAATATATTAACGATCGATTATATCTGTCGCTATTATTGTCTCTAATTTAGCGACCGATTTAGCGACCGATTTTAATTTTTATTTAAATAATTATATTAATATATTAGCGACCGAATATATCGGTCGCTATTTTTTAAAACTTTACCACTGATTTAGCGACCGATTTATTATATTAATTTCGGTCGCTATTTTGGTCTTCAATGAATAAGTGACCAAATTATTTAGTGACCACTTTAGCGACCACCTCATCGGTCGCTATTTAGCGACCGAAATGTAAATCGGTCGCTAACAAATTAGCGACTTGCCCTTTTGCGACCAACAATTTCGGTCGCTAATTTCGGTCGCTAACAGAATAGCGACCGAATTTTGGCCATTAGCGATCGATTTTTTCGGTCGCTAATAGCGTTTTTCTTGTAGTGTAATATAGCTAACACACTTGTAGTATTGAGAATATTTTAATGATCTTAATACTATTATACCTAGTCAGCAATTTGTACGCAATCTATATGTGAATGAATCAATCCAAACAAAACTTGAACAAAAACATAATCAATTTGAACAAAAGTACAAAAGTAAAACATACATATAATTGTCTAAATATTAACTAAAGTAGAGAATCCTAATAACAATATTCATAATACAATTCAAAAATACTGATACGAGCCTACATAAAGTTGTTAAATTTCTTTTAGTCTTGATGTTTTTCTTCAACATTTCAAAGGTATATCTTCGTCTTGTGTATCCAAATTTGTTATATTATCTCTTTTATGACTTGTAATAATGACCAAGTCATTATTAAGAATAATGTCAGATGCTAAATCTACTTGGTTCAGAGTCAATATCATTAGATGTATTAGAGAACTTTGTTAATAAATCTTGTAAAAATAATTTGAAATACTTTAGACTAATTTTTTTCATGATCTATTTTTAATAATGATGATAAAGTCATTAAATATCTAGGCAACAATAACAATAGAATTGCAAAACTTTTATTGTTTACTATTGAATATGTCGTTTTTTGAATTAAACAAATTTCGTATGATTAATATAGTAGTTGATAACGATGAATACCACATATTAGTTGTTGAGTAGCAACTTACCACTAATTTCATGCAACTATGAATTTTTTCATAATAACATCATTAGAAAAAAAAAATCACTTTGAAAGTTTATTCAAATATAAAACTTTAACTACAGATAGACTCCTTTCTTGAAAAGATAGTCTTATTTACCAATTATGCAATCTCCTTAGAAAAATTAGCAATGAATATTAAATATTGAATGTAAAATATATAGTATAAATATAGAATATGACTTTATAATATATAATGTATTGTAATATAGAATATAGAATCTAACTTTATCATGCAAATCAAACATCTCTATGCATGATTTCTTTAACAATGCAGTAACATCCATATAAAAAATAATAAAAATTGATAAGTAATGAATTATTATTATATGAAACAACTTGTAAAAAACATGGGGTATATTGAAAATTAACAATGAACACTACTTAAGCATGATTTTACCGAATGACAATATATTTCACTTTTCTTTTTTAGTATTGAGTTCTAAAACATGAATGATACTTTTTTTTTAAATTGAACATGTTAGATTGTATTTAAAAATATGCAAAATTACAATCTGAATGTAAAATATATGAAGAATAACAAACTCAACATATAAATATAGCAATCATTTCATATATGTATAGTATGACAAGAAGAGAGAAATTAAAGTAGTATATTAAGACGTGGAGGAAGATTTGGGCTCGCAAGTAATTTTGCGAACCAAACCCATTCATTTGTCTTTTACTTAAAATATTATGTTTTGTGTCTTGTTTTTTTAATCTAATGTCGACACGTGTAAAAAATTACTATTTGTGATATCTGTGTATTGTTATAGATTTTCTATATTTTATTATATTGGATCAATCTCAACTTGTGGCTTCTATTATATTAGTGTTCATCTTTTCCACAATCAATTATTACTTAGTCTCGGTTTGATTATTAATCTAGACAACTCCTTTCGCATATGTCAAATTAGAATTTTTTTATAATTATTTTTCTCAATCATGTTGTTGAGAGAAATGACATTTCTTCTTTGTAACAGAGTAGTTTATTTAATACTGTAATATAATATCATGATTCAGATCCTGAAAATACTTAATTAAGGGATATAATACCTAACACTTATGTCAAAAAATGTTGATTATCATGTAATATCATTTTTATAGTCTTTGTTTTTATATAAATATTATCCCCAAAATTATATACATTAGAATTTGTGAACAAACGAGTGCAATTTGAGGTTGACACGATAATTAGTGGTAGATGAGAATGTGATGTTGTTGGAAAGAAATATCTTTGTTGACCAAAATAAGTGATCCACAATTCTTATAAATCCTATGTACCCAAAACTAAGGGGTGATGATCTTTTTTAATACACCATATCTTGAATTATTTGTGTAAGAAAGTATTACGAATGATAATTCTATGTTATTTAATCTCAGAATAAATACTCTTTCTTTTCCAATGAATTTTTTAACCGCAGAAGAATAGTATATTCTTTTCTCTCTATGGTCACAGTTCATTTGGGTAAATAGCCACTAGTCTTTTAGGACTGTGACGAGGGTTTGTTTCATTTATATGATTTATTGTTAGTGAGAATTTATTTGAGGTTTTATTTTAATATATAAATGTTATTTAAAAATAAACTAATATGTGTTATAATCAAGTTAAATAATTCAAATTAAAATGAGTTCACGAATTAAAACTAATTCGACCTATCAATTTGGATCTGTGCATTGGTACGTCAAAGTCTAATTCATTTTTCCAATTATCTCGACTTGAGGGTTTGTCTTATTAGGGATACGAATTGAGTGATATAAAATATTTAAAAATCTGAAGATGTGGTAGCAATCATATATTTGATCTTGTGGGAACCAAGCTAATATATTATAAACAGATCTTTATTTTTGCTTTTGCATTTCAAATTCTTAGGACATTTTTTAAATTATACAAGAATATTATATTAAAGAAATAATAAAAAGTTGGTGAGAGCAACTACTTTTAAAGAAAGAATATTTTATAAAAATAATTATTATTTAAAATTAACGTGATTAATATAATATAAAAAAATTAAAATATATAATATCTATCTTTTATAAAAAAATTATATTAAAATAACTTAACCTTAAATTAATTTTTATCAAAATCGGATAAAAATTTAATTGATTTTATCGGTTTTATCTCAATTTTTTTATTATCGATTTAATTATTTAGAGTAATAAATCGATTTTTAAGTTTAATTTTCAATTTAATCAATTAAACTAGTTGAATCTAGTTTGGTTTTAAAAATAATGATATCAACTAAGAAAATAATATGTTTCCATAACAAACCTGAAACTTCAAAAAAAGTTCATATATTTATTATTGATAAATGATCTAATTAATTATCTTAAAATTTGAAGGATTAAGGATATGTTTGGTTATTATTTTTTAAAAATAAATTTATTTTAGAAAGTAGAATATTTATGGTTAAAATAATATTTCAAACGATTTTTTTTCTTTCGAAAATTAAAAACAAAATTTGATAAAATATGTTTTTTGATTTTATTTTCTATTTTCATTAATAATAATATGTGCCTCCTAATTATTAAATAAACTATCAAACTTATTCTAATAATTTTTAAAATTACTTTTAAAAATTAAAAAAATAAACATATTTTAAAATAACACAATTTCCATATTCAGAAAATTTAAAATGCAATTAAACCTAACAAAATTAAAGTTAAAAAAGTTGTAGACTTTGCTTGTGTGATTATAGTGAGAAAAGTGTGTCTACTAACCAAAAGAAAGTGAGAAAAGAAAAAGTAAGAAGAATTAGAATAAGAAAAGTTGGAAGTGATGGCACAAGGAAAAGTAAGAAGAGATTCACTACATTTACAACTAGTCAACCACACTGCAAGCATTCAGAAATGAATCAAACTGCTAGCTGTTGTTGCTTTTGATGAGAAGATTCATCTTCATTGAAGCACAAGTGGGTCTTCAATGATTTTCCTAAAGTTAGAGTGGATTCTGCAAAATTTAGAGGTTCCATCACCACCATTTCTCTTTGGAGGTGGACACAGTAGGCTTGGAAGGTTCCTGGGGTCACATTTAAGTGGAAACCCAAACCAAACAGAAAATCCAACTCAAGAAAATTCATCTCTGTTTTGGTGATTCCCCCAACTTTTGCATAGTATGCATTGTTGTAGTACCTGAAAAATATCATGCCACAGGCACAAAGATAGAACATTAGGTCAATGTCATGTAAAAAAAACTGTTTTTCCTAGAAATTCAACACATCAAACCACATCATGTAAGATGTTTTTCATACAAAATTATCAAGTCAATCATCACCAATACTTGACATTTCATTTTACTTTATAAGTTGGTGTTCCAAAATTACATTACACAGTGAGATTATTTCATGAAAAATAATTCTTCTATAGTTCCATTTTGATTAGGTCACTCTGTTTATATATCTATCTATATGTCTATATAATTAATTATAAGATATTTATTTGCTGGATAGGTGCAGTAAACTCATGCGATCACATGGGAGATTGTCTCTTCTCAATGGAAAACCAGCCTCGCCATAGTATTTTTCACAAGCAACAATATATTTTTTTAAGGAAATATTGTTGTCACAAACACAAAACTTTACGTCAGAGAGAACTGTAGAAGATTAAAAAACACCCCAAAATGAATTTTTTTTTTTCTTTGAGGTTAAACTACAATTCACAATATGGGATTTTAAGACATTTCAATTTGCTTCTGCTACTGGTATACTTCAAAATCCAGAACAAGAAAAAGTCATGAACAAGCATAGATCCTCAAAACAGTGGAAAAGTGCAGAGCAACTGAAACATTATTTCACTTTTGGTCACATAATAGGAAGAAAATAAAGAAAAAGAAAAGAGCAGTAATACCCATCATTAATAATTTGTTTACTCAAAGTTTCAGACTATCAGAAAAACTGAATTTGAATGTTTGTTAAGGATGTTGAGACAGTTGATGTTGCTTTTTTCTATTTGGAGAACTTTTTTTAGTATTTTCAGAAAATTAGACACCTACCCATGATCATGCAATATCCATCCAGATGATCCAAACTCTTGAGATAGGATTGCAAAACAGAAAAGAGAATCAAAGTTTTCATCACTAGTTAGCTTAGTTAATTATATACACATCAAAGTTTCAAAATTAAGAAAAGCCAGATTTAAAAAATTGTTTTCTGGTTTAGTTTCTACCAAGATTCAGATATTACTTCTTTTCTGTATTCACATTATCAGGAATCAAAGCATGGACAAGATGATTAAATAAACAAAATCTACCAACTTTGTGGGACCATGTCGGTTAATATGAAAGTTTGTTGAGGGTAGAAAGACACACTCACATGTCATCCATGAATTTGGCAGCTACCATGACACTTGTGATCAACAATCTATGGACATTGAAGGAGTTGATGGGGAGAGAGGGTTGTCTCTGAGTGAAACGATCGAGGTAGACATAGGCAACAATGAAGCACGAGGGGCTGCAATTGGCATACTTGAAGATTCTCTCAAGGTAGCACTGAATTGAGATGTTGGGTCGTGTCAAGCCATGGAACACTGAGATCTTGTGGTGCTGTTGGAGTTGCTGGTTCTGATCGTTTGACTCAGCCACCCTTTCCAGCATGGAGGAGAGGAAAGTGATCACTTTTGGCATCACACTTGGACTCTCCTCCTCTGCCATGGACACTCTCAAAGTTTTGATGCAACAAACGTTTCAACTTGTCATGATGTGTGGGTTGTGTGTGTCTATATATATATATATATATATATGCCAATTTTCTAGACTATGCACTAAGAAGTTTAGTTTAAACCAACATGGTCCACCATAAATAGACAAGTCCATTATTTAAATGTTGTTTGAAGTTTGATTCTTAATTATGTGAATGGAGAAAATTATATTTGAAAAGATGAAACTTTATTTTGGTCATATCTAAGTAAAGAAATAATTAGTATTTGGCTGACTATTGAGAATACCATTGGTAAAATAAAATAAAATTAGAGAATATTTTGAGTGTTCTCTTAAAAACGTTAAAAAGGCTAAAAAACCAAATATTTTATATATTTTAATATATAATAAATTATTTGTTTTTAATAGTTTTTTTATCTTGTCCTCCTAACCAAAGTATTTACTCCATATGAGATGTCAAATTTAGTTGCTTTTTTTAAACTTTTTAATTTTGTGAATTTGGCATTAGTTTAGTCTCACATTAATATTATGTTAATAAATATGGTATAATTAGAGTAAAAAAATTAAAATATTAGAATGTATGAACTGAAATTACAATTAATCTAAAATATAGTGAAATAGAGAGAAAGATATTGTTAGGGGCAGGTACTTTTGCCGATGCAAAAGGGCCCTATTGATTTAAATAATGGCTTGCAAGTTGGCACATCATTGGTGGTATGTGTCCTTTTTGGACTAAAAACGTTTTGGGGTTGGAGTTGGGTAATGATTTTGATTTCCTCTTTAATTTCAAAACTTGACTTGTGAGAGAGGCAAGGGTGGTGCCTTTAATGTGGATTAATGTCCCTTTCTGCAAATTAATTAGTGGTTTAATTTCTTGTTTGTGGTAACATTGTTGTTGGTGACAATGGAGAGGGCATAGCATACCCTTTCATGTGATTACATGTGAGGAATTTGAGACTCTAGTGTAAAGGTTCCACTATTTTGACACCCTTGCATGTGTTTTGATTCTAGTACAAGTGGGTGACATAACATGGATTTGCTGTGTTGGTCCACACCATTACTATACTATGCTTTTGTTCCTATATACACACTTCCTTGCATTCCCATAAATGAAGGAAAACACCATAGAGGTGCTGCTTTTTCTTCAAGATTGCTTCTTCTTGTGACCCAAATAAATTCCAAAGGTTGAATCATGCTGTTGTTTTAGTGATATTATTTAAGGCTTTGGAAGCCATCCGACTTTTATTGATTTTTTTTTCTTCCTTTTAAAAGGTTAGGATTAAATTATGTTTAGGAAAGATTGTATATAGAGATTCAGTTGTTTTTGGATAAAATTTTTGTTTATAATTTCAGAAATAAATTTAGAATAATAATTAAAATTGTAACTTATTATTTTTTACAAATTATTTTTTATATGATCTTTTTCCTTAAACTTAATATATGTTATTTTTTTTTCTAGTAAGAACATTGATAGTTATATATATATATATATATATATATATATATATATATATATATATATATCTTTTTTTTTAATTCATTAAAATATATTTTTTAAATAAAACAGTAAAAAATTAGAATTCTAAAATAAATAATATCTTAAACTTAATAATAAATTTTAATGATATTATTATAACGAATATAAAATTGAAACAGTCTCAGTCATTAAAAAAAATTGAATCTCAGACAAATTTGATTAATTATATTGTTGCGGTGTTTGATTAAGATAGCATGAGAGGAGTAATGATTGTATCTTATGGAGATGAATTTTGGGGACTTTGTTCAATGAATGTGGCAATAACAGGAATCAATTTTGCACAAAGAAACAACGTTTAGAATATGAAATGTATGCATTTTTGGCAAAGTACCAAGAAACAAAAACCCAGTTGGAACTATCGACTCTCATTGAAAATAAAAAAAAGAGACACTAACAATCTTTTGCAATATAACGTGCCACACAAGCAAAACAGTGCGAGATTTGTGCCCCACAAAGTCATGCACTTTCTCTAACTTGGTTTTGGTATCTAACCACTTCTGCTTGGCTAATCTGAGAAGGAAACTATTGTTTGGAATTAGATGCTTGCTAATGGAGGCATTACTTGTCATAATTCAAATTAGGGACCAAACATAACATGTCTTCTATAGTAAGACCTGTTCAAATCTAATGTTTTGTTCATGTACCTCCGAGATAGAAACACTACAGTTTTGTTTTTTTTGTTTTTTAATCCACATCAATTAGAAATATAGTTAAATTATAAATATTTATCTACTTTTAGAACAAAACCAGCTCTACTTAAATTAAAATTATTGTGCCACTTGTGTCTTGAGTACAAGAGTGAGACTTTTTCCACAATGAGATTTTACCATTTCTTTTAAATATTTTGTTTGAAAATATGAAAATTCAAAATAATTTATAAACTGAGTTATAGGTGGTTAATTTGATGAGATGGGTATGTTGATAGTGATGTGTGCACATCAAATTATATGCTGAGTAACACGTAACAGAGAAATTGCAACTCTTGAGAAAGCTTCCTTTGAGAAGATTCCACTTCATCTTTTATTTTCAAAGCTAAGATGTATAAATCAATTTTTATTTACGAAAATAAATTGTTTTATTTTACTTTTTCTATTCATTTTGTTTCCTTCTCTACAAGCTTTTAAGGAAATTTATCCAAATTAAGCCGTAATGTTTTCTGCATGTTCTTCTTCCTCGTCCTAATCCTTTGAATAGTAACCATCTTTCATTAATATTTTAGTCCCTAACTATGAAATGGCATTTGCATTTATCCTTTGTAGTACAAAATGATGTGAAAAAGGATAAAAATGAATGACTCTAAATATTTAAATATGTTTAAAGAAATTCCTCTATGCCACTTTTAGGAGAAAAAAAAATTATAAACTAAAATTAGTTTATATATATTATTTATAAAAATTCTCTCGTAATTTTTTTAATTTTGTAGAAATTGTAGAAACAGAAGATATATTTTACGAAGGATAAAATATTGTGGTTTATTTTACTCTTTAAATAGAGTTTAAAATAAAACAAATACAAAACAAATATCCCTTATTTTTAGGCATAACCCAACAGTTATTTTGAATATATTTTCTAAACTCGATAAAAACAGAATCAATACTATCCTAAAGAATAGGTCATAAACATCCACTTCTGCAGCTATTGCGGCACACATTCAACAAATTTCCTCCTTGCCTCAATAGTTGCAAATACCTAGTTTATTAATAGTTGCAAACACCTAGTTTATTTCTTAAAGCTTCAAATTTGAATTTTGGAAGAGCTTTTGTTAAGACATCTGCACCTTGATCTTCAGTTCTACAGTAAATTAATTTAACTTCACCTTCTCTTTGTGCTTCCCTTAAAAAACACAACTTGATCTTGAAATGCTTAGTCCTACCATGAAAAACAAGATTATTTGAAATGGAAATAGTTGCTTGATTATCAACAAGAATTTGTGTAGGCTCCTTTTGTTTCATATGTAAGTCTTCCAAGAATTTTACATCTCTGCTCATAAGAATTCTTTCATTTTGTGGTTGAAAAATTCTATAAGCTTTGGACGTGCTGTTGTATCCAATAAAGACTCCAGGTTCTGCTTTTTATCAAGTTTGTCTCTCTTAACCTATGGAACATATGAAAAACAAACACAACAAAAAATCTTTAGATTTTGTAAATCTGGTTTGTATCCAAACCATCATTCAAATGGAGTTTTTGGAGTTTTTTTGTTAAGAACTCTGGTTGGCAGCCTGTTTAGCAAAAATACTGCAGTGCATGCAGCCTCTGCCCATAGCTTCTTTGGCAACTCCTTTTCATGCAACATACACCTTGTCATTTCCATAATACTTCTATTTTTTCTCTCACTTACACCATTCTATTGTGGGGTGTATGGTACAGTGAGTTGGTGCTCTATGCCGGCTTCTTCACAAAATCTGTCAAAGGTGTTATTTGCATATTCCTTTCCATTATCTGATCTTATTGTCAGTAATCTGCAACCACTTTGATTTTCCACAAATGCTTTATATTTCCAGAATATATTAGCAACCTCAGTCTTGAACTTAAAGAAATAAATCCAACAAAATCTTGAATAGTCATCAATAAATATAATATAATATAATATTTATTACCATTCAAAGATGATACTCTTTGAGGTCCTCCAACATCTGTATATACCAGCTGCAACTTATGTGTTGCTCCCCAAACTGTTTGAGGAAATGGTCTTCTAATTTGCTTACCATATTGACAAGCCACACAATCAGCCATATTGTCTTCAAGCACTGTTACACCTTTAACCAAGTCATGTTTCTGCATGTATAGAAGTCTCGCACGGTGGAAATGTCCGAGCCTTTTGTGTCATAATTCAATGTTGTTGTAGGTGCTTGAAAAAGCTATTTGCTCCTCCTCCATTAGATTTAGAGCATAGTTTTTTGCCTTCATTTTTACCTTAAACACATCTTTGCCTTTTGCATCCTTAATCAAGCACCACTTGTCTTCAAATATAACTTTGAAGCCCTTTTCAACTAGCTGTGCCACACTAAGCAAATTTTGGTCAATGTTAGGCACATATAAGACATCGGAGATATGTTTCAAACCGGTTAAACTTTCGATAGTAACAGTTCCTTTTCCTTTGACTGATATCAAATCACCATTTCCAATTTTTACTTTGGAAACAATGGTTTTATCAAGCTCTTTGAAAAGTGTTTGGTCGTTCGACATATTGTTTGTACAACCACTGTCTATTAATCATGAATCACTGGAACTGTTGCTTGTAACAAAACATGTTGCAACAAAGAGTTGCTCATCTTCTTGTTGCTCCGTGGACATCTTTGCCTCCTCCGGTGATTTGCAAATCCGCTCTACATGTCCCAGCTTGCCACATTTTCGGCACTTGATGTCAGGTTTCCACCAACATTTTTTTTAGAGTGGTTTGTTTTTTTACCGTGTGGACAAGGTGGAAATGTGTCACTTTGGTGCTTGTTGAAACTTTCTGGTTTCCTGTTTTTCCATTTGGTGTTCTTCTTATCATTGCCTCCTCCTGAGTTTTGTGCTTTTATATGAAAAGCACCTTGTGTTGTCTCTTCCTCCTCATGTCTCATCGTTCTTCTCTGTTCTTGGGCCTGTAAAGCATTTACCAATTCTCCAAGGGTGATTTTTGACAAGTCTTTTGACTCCTCTAATGCTGATATTTTTTATTCATACTTTTCAAGTATTTTTTGTACTATCCTTTCATCAGGAAAATCCTTACCGAGGATACGTACTTGGTTTGCGATGCTCAACAGTTTGTCAGTATAACTTTTGATAGTTTCCGTCTCTTTCATGCTCTGCATCTCAAATTCTCTGTCCAAGTTGAGTGCCAAACTGCTCTGATACTTTAATTTGAGGTAGTCCCAAATTTCTTACGCAGATTTCAAATTCATAATTCTTGTAAATATAATTTTTGAAACGGAAGAGAAAAGACAAGCTTTGACCTTGGCCTTTCTTGTCTTCTTTTCTTTGTGAATCTTCAGCTGCACCACTGTAGGATTTTCAGGTAGTGGACCAATTGCATACACTGTAGGATTTTCAGGTAGTGGACCAACTGCATAATCTTCTTCTATCGATTCCCAAAGATCTAGGGCTTCAAGATGGACAGTCATCCTTGCAGCCCCATAGGTCATACTCCTCACCATCAAAAATTGGTGACGATATTATGTGTGTTGTTTCTGTTTCCATTTTGATTTCTTTCACTCACAGATCCCTCAAGATGATACACTCTGGTACCAATTTGTAGAAATTGTAGAAACAGAAGATATATTTTACAGAGGATATAATACTGTGGTTTATTTTACTCTTTAAATAGAATTTAAAATAAAACAAATACAAAACAAATATCCCTTATTTTTAGGCATAACCCAACGGTTATTTTGAATATATTTTCTAAACTGATAAAAACAAAATCAGTATTATCCTAAAGAATAGGTCCTAAACATCCACTTCTGCAACTATTGCGGCACACGTTCAACAAATTTATTCATAAAATAATTTTAACTTGTAAAAAATTTAATAATACTTTTTCTTATTAAACACTCGATGAAATAATTTTTCCAAACAAACCTTTTATGCAATATTAAGAACTAATGACCTATTTCTACAAACTTGTCCAAAAAAAGTTTTGGAGAAAAAATAAGAAAAAAATAAAATACAAACTAATTTTTAAGTCAGAACTTGATTTTTTTTTTTTAATTTATACATTAACTAATTTGTCCAAACAAAGTCAATCTCTAAAGCCCAATATCATTCCTGTCGTCATTATAATGAACCTATGCTTCGATAGTTCAAACACAAACAAAATCAGATTGAAAAAGAGAAAACTCGTACAAATCATTCACAAGGATGACCTCAAGATCACATATACCATTGATATCAACATCAATTCGCATGAAAAGATAAACATCACATACCATTGTAGCACAAACATTCCAAAAGCTGCTAAACTTTCTAACTGTTATGATGAGACATAGAAGCCATGAAACTTCACTGAGATCATATTCGACCAAAATCCTCTGCATATGTTCTAGCAAACCATTTTGCACTACTCTAAAGAAAAAGAATTGCAGTATCAAAAGGTACTCTCTAGTTGGTTCAACAACATTTGAGAGTCGTCGCCATCCATGTTTTCACTGTCATCGATATCAGCAATTCTATCTGCTGTATCAATCTTGCTTGACAATAATTCGTCATCAGATGAGCCAATGAGTGATGCATAAGCTTTATTTTTACTAAATTTGGCCTGCTTCAACAGTCTAATTAAAGTTTCAGCACTTTCCATGTCATCTTGTTCTTGGCAAAGGTCAAGGAATGCAGACAAGTTCAAGGGCTTCGGTCTCCAACTCTTTGAATTATTAGCGACCATGAAAGCCTCTTTCAAGCAGGACAAGGCCTCAGAAATCCTCTTATCTGCAATGTGGCCCTCAGAAAGAATCTCCCATGTATTTGAATTTGGAATGCCACCATCCTCCTTCATCTGTTTGAAGAAACTCAAAGCTTTATCTTCATCACCTGCCACTACATACTGGGCTAGAAGAAGGTTTCCCACTCGAGGATCATAACTTAACTTTACTGAAAGCCATTCCTTGTAGAGTCTTTCTGCACCATCTATATCATCCAATTTAACCAGAGAAGAAATAATAGCATGGTATCCCAAGTTTGGTATATTTTTTGGAAAAACTGATTTGTACGTATTCCACACACGATAAACTTCGCCTTTGTTTCCAACACGTCCATATAAACTCAGGAGATAATGAAAAGGAATTCTATCACGACCTTTAATTCTATTCTCAACCTTTATTAAGCACTCTTCTGCTTTTTCAGTCTGATCCATCTTAATGTACATTGAAGCCATTGTGCTGAATGTAGACCAGTTAGGGATGATGGTAGGATCCCTTTCCATCTGTTCAAACACTTTTTCCATCTTCTCTATTGATCCTTGAGATCCACAAGATGATAACCAGATATTATATGTATAGATATCTAGCTGTATCTGTTTTTCTATCATTTCAGAAACCAACATATCAACTTTAACATATTCCTTTACATTCATGTAGAGAGTCATCATTACATTAAATGGTAGTGGATGTATCACAAACCCTTTACTCCTCATTGTGTCAAATAAAGATTCTGCCTTTTCCTTCGATCTGGAATGCACATATACATTCAAAAGGGCACCATAAGTCCTCTTATCTTTTAACTTATCGTCCAGACTCAGAAAGAACACTTCCGCACTAGAAAGTCCACGAACTTTTGCAATTAGATCTAACTGAATTGCTGCATCACTCTCAGAAACTCTAAACCGCTCTGGCCTATTGTTTATCCAATCATATACCTGCAACATTTGCTCCTTGATTTAAAAAATAGTACATGGATGATATTAAGACAATCGAAGCAAATATGTAAAGATAATCAGTGGCCCAAGGGAAGCATGCCATTAAATAGAGTAGTGGCCCAAAAAAATGGTGTCTGCAAATCAGGAATTAACAATTACGAATGTTGTTATAGATTTATGTTAATGTATATGTATCCCATAAAACCAAGTGCTCTAAGAAAATAGTAAAAAAGATCATTCCGATATGGTCAAGGGAATAGAGCTACTATGGAATCAATCAGGTCTTGTTGTAGTCTCATATAGCTCACACTGCTCACCCCTATACTTTTCTGACACCGCCACAGGGCACGATGCAATCTTTTGTTTCTTCAGAGTGAATGATAATCCGATGATGATAAAACATATACAGCTCTCCACACCATAAACAAAATATAGTTTTGGAAAAGACTATTCTCTTACAGCTGTTAGAAATTTTGAATAAGGGAAGGGGAGAAGGAAATAGGTTTAACAAAAAGAGGGAAATCCTTGCTAAAAGTGGCAAAGATATTGGACATTTCCTTTCATTCATTAAGTTAAATTACCAAGAGATAGATGGTAGGCAAAACTTCTTGGAGAAACCACAATCAACAGGTTTTTCATTTTCCTGCTCATGCTCTGATAAACCTTGGAAAGTTTCTGTGAGTAGGAAAAATAAACATTCACAGACACACTAGGTCAGCTTTCTGCATTATTAATTTTGTGTCTTTAGGAAGTTATGGATTTGAATTAGCTTTGTTTAGTATTTGTGTCTTTAGGCAGTCGTGGAATTGTGTGCCAATTATTGTTTGATATTTTAAATTCCAACTTGAATCGCATGCAAAACTGAAATCAAATGGCAATGCCGAATTATAAAATCCTTCATCGTGAACAAATGACAAAGCTATATATTTCAACTCAGATGCTAACTAAAGCTGGTTATCAACTACGGAACATGAAGAATGCTTACCTATATACAGAAACAAACCTGTAGAATCGTACTCATGTCACAATGGAAAGCCAAAAATGAACCAAATTATTAAACAACCTCAAGGAGCAGGATTTGCCTCATAATAAATGCCATCTAAACTGGTGAGTTCAATGAAAGTGAAACTTCTCAATACAGGAAAGAAAAAGCTCTTGAATATCAACTTTACCTAAACTCTAATGAAACAAAGCCAAACACCCAACACTCCAACCCTCCCACTAATAACACATTCCACGACTAATAACTACGTATCACAATCTCTTCAGTAAAAAGTAAAATCACACACAGAGGTAAAAGCATCCTAAATGAAAAAGTGGTAAAAAGAAAGATTTTTTTATCTCAAGCGCAAGTGCAATTTAAATCCTTATTCAGATAATTAGTTTTACAAAAAAAAAAACTACATATCACTATCTCTTCAGCAAAAATGAAAAAGTAAAAAACAAAAACACAGAGTTAGAGATTAAAGCACCCGAAATGAAAAAAGAGGTTGGAAGATAGAGTTTTGACCTCAAGGGCTCTCCGAAATTTTTTGTATTTTCTCAACTCCTTGACGACTCTCGAGAGTTCCCACTTGGTGAGGTGTCTGCCTTCGTTCTCCCACCGGTTGAGCACCTCGGCGGAGGTCACATCGGTGTCCGGGTTGAGCGATATCCGGCGGTACACGTCATTCCACCGCACAATGGGGCGGCGCTCGTAGTCGACGGTGCCGTAGCTGTGGACCTTGGAGACGGAACACGTCACAACCGAGAGGCGCGGGAGACACGGGGGGCGCGTGCGAGGGAGGGGGAGAGTGGAGGAAGAGGGGTTGAAGGGGAGAGAGTAAGAGAGAGAACAAGAGAGAGAGAGGGTTTGGTTGTGAAGAGAAGATTGAAGTCGAAGGAGACTCATCTTACTCTCTCTTTCTCTGTGAGTGAGTGAAAGAGTTGCTGCGAAATGGTGTGTTGAAGATAAAGAGGAGGTTCAGAGTTTGGACAAGGACTTGTTTGTGAGACGTTTGTGGAAAAGTAAACAAAAATAATAAAAATAAGTAATTGAGGAATGCAAATTTTAAATAATTTATCATTAACATAATTCATCATTGTTTTTTTCATTTGACTAAGATAGTTTTTAATATAATAAAAAATTTACAATAATAAACTAAATATAATTCTTTTTCGAGGAAGTAAATTGTTTACAATTATGAATCTTTATTAATGTGAATTTTCAGTTATTGGATAAAGAAATATCAATATAAATCAACCGACCTACATAATAAATACCATAAACCAGGTAAAGTATAAAAAAATTTAGAATTTTTTTTTACAAAGATAATAAGTTTTAAAAATATAATGACTCTCTCCAAAAAAATAAATGAAACACATAAAATTAACAATCAAATACAAATCTTTGTTCATCATTATCTGGTTTATAATAGGAATAGCATTAAATGCTACGTTAATCATTAGTATTCTAAAATGTTTTTTTTTTTGCACTTGAAGATTACTAGTGCATCACGAGGGAAAATACAAGTAGCTCAGAATATTGGATGCCCGTAAAATTATAAATGTATACATGCAAAGTAAGGGCTTCCTATTGCTGTAGCGTAACCAAAATGCATAATACTTTCTATCTGGTAAAGAGGCTCCTAGCTTTGAACCCCAATTAACCACAATCCTTAAGTAACAAGTGAGCCTTGAGCAACCAGATTAACAGAGTTGCTCCTCAACCTTCCAGCAGCAGTGTTGCAAAATTAGAAACATTGCAAGTATTACTCCTTAAATAATATTTAGCTGCATTAATTTAAGCCAAAAAGTTTTCCAGCATAAATGAAGTTATCCCATGAGATTGTTGAACCAGTATAAATCTACTGTAATTGAAAAATCAGATATATCTTCAGAGGAATCAATGTTTGAAATACTACAAGAAAAACTACTGTAGCCATTTGTACATGCTCATTAATGCTGAAGACACAACTGATAGTAGGGATCACAATAGCTACTTTAGTCAAACTTGCTCCCCACTCTTCCTCCCAGACCCTTCAAACCTAACGATCTCAAATAGATTATCATACCAGACAAATCATTATGAGCAGCCAGACCATATTTGGCTGACTATATTCTGGTTTTCTAAATTTCCTTGGACAAAAACTTTGGGCTCTTTAACCTGCAAAGGGTGAAATTTAGGATCAATAATCGTGGAATGAACAAAGCATTCATTGTTTGAGCTGGTTGTGAATTTAAATAGCAACTACGAACCAGTAAAATTGGTGGAAAGCCAGATTTCAAGCGGACTCTTGAGAACCCATCTTCAGTAAATAGGCACTTGAATCCACTGATCACAGAATGTTCACTGTTAAAAGATCAACGAGGAGGTTCGGTAAATGGAAAATTTTCTTGCAATCAGTCAATGCACTGACATCTGAAAAATCATATATAAGATTTCCAAACGTTCATTTCATTCCTCTCTATCACATGTACTACATAGAAAGATGACAGAAGTCATAAATAAAATGTATTCATCCACGTGTGCTAAATATTATGTCTGTTATAGATGTAATACAAAAATCATTCATGCATCTTCACTTAAATAGCTTAGCTTTTGGGATAGTAGGTCCATAACAAGGTATCAATACTTTTTTCTATTTCAATCCATGCTGCCCCGTTCTTGAGATAAAAAAATTGAAGTCTCAGCACAATGTTGGTGGGATTGCACACTATCAATGCTTCAAACCAAAAGAGATGATGCATGAACGGGTTTATTAGAGATGTAATATAAAACTATTCACGTGGCTTCAAATTATAACTTAAGCTTTATGGATAGTTGGTTCATGGCAATGACCATTATGAACACAACATATGCTGATAAGGCCCTTGCCAACAACACATACTCTTTAAGGGGATCTACTGTATATAGTTTATCAATGTTATTTAACAGATTTGCTCACTTGACTTTCTGTCAACAGTTTGTAGGATCTCTTATCATAGACGCATGTGCCTTGCAAATTAAGTTTGTCAAGTACTGGAAGTAATATACCAATATGTTAATAGATAACTCACTTTATAAGAAAAGTAAAATTTCTCTGCTGAAATTCTTCCAAGCTAATCTGTTCTTCTTTAGAATACCTGCACCAAAGAATTCAAGCTAAGTAACTGAGAGTTGGAAAGCAACATAGTCTGATCATTGCAAATTGCAAACAATCAACAAAGAAATAATGAAAAGTATACTAATAATACCTTGTTAACACTTAAATCTTCCCCATTACAAGGTTTTTCATTCCTATTTAGTCATTTGTATGTTTAGTATTTCGACAATTTTTCCATCTGGGCATCATAGATCATGTAAACAGCATAACATAAGCAAACAACAATGTGCATAATCATGAGTTAATGAATCCTCTTAACATTAAAATCCAGAATTGGACTCGCTAAAGCAACAAATAGTATGGAAGAACTCACACGTAAATGTTTAAAAATGTAAACCCTAGATCCACAATGATGCCTAAGTTCAACAAGAGATAAGGTGCTAACTTATAAACTTGAATATGGTGAGCATCAGGGAAAATAGATCAAGGTTTATTGTGTTTTCATTAGTGCAATGAGAAACACATTCACTAATCATTGTCACTATGCTCAGAAAAAGCTGCAGTCAACCAAATATCTCAAACTAGACTTGAGAAAGCAGATTAGATATTTCGGCAATGTTTCCAAGGCCTCCACTACCAGCCTTCCCAACAGAAAGGTACCCACGTCATACTGAATTGCAGGTTACAATGGAAAAAATTAAATCATATACACAACTCAACTCTTCTTCGTTTGAAGGAGAGAAACGGAAAATAGGAATGTGAAAGTTAAAGAATTCAATGAAGTTTTTCTTTGAATCAATTTACTACTCTGAGAATTGATATCTTTAAAAGCATAACTTCTGAACATTAATATAGTTGGCTTCATTTCAAAGAGGACACTGAAATTATAGAATTGTAAATTTCTGTGATTAGTAAATCATAGATAAAGGCTGAGAAAGTTGTGCCATCATTAGTCCACAAAAAGAGTTTTAGCCAAAGAAAGGTTTGTCAGTGTTAGATTTATTAGATATTAAATAGACAGTTGTACCTAGGTTCTAGAAGCATGTGTACTTATGAGCCGGATCTTTATCTGTACCTAGTTTCTAGAATAGGTCTTTTCACTTTTCCTCTACTCATTATGTCTGAGAACTTCTATTATAAATAAGAGAACTTAAGAGAGGAAGTTCAAGCTCTCTAATTACATATTTTTCTTTTTTTCTTATCTTAAGTTGGTAGCAAAATGCGTCGATCATGCTCTGTCTGTCCATGTCTTCGGCCGTGGCCACTGTTTTTTTTTTCGTTTGGATACTGCTTGGTGTGAGGCCTCATCTCTATCTCACTGTCAGTGTAAATATGGCTTTAGGGCCTGCAACCTCCTTTTTTGGGTCTCCTACTATAACATCTAAAAAGTTAAATGGAAAAAATTATTTGTCATGGTTTGCTTCAGTGGAACTCTGGTTCTTAGGTCAAGGTTCTATGATCACCTACAAAAAGACGGAAACGATTTTCCATCAAATAAAGCTCAACAATTGAAAAAAATTGATTATCAATTACGTGCTCTACTATAGTAGTAAGTAGAACCAAATATTTTGAGTACTATCATATCCTTTAAAATGTATAATTCCTTTTGGAAAAAGGCCCAAAACATCTTTGCAAATAATATCCCACGTCTTTATGATTTGTCATGGTTTGCTTCAGTGGAACTCTGGTTCTTAGGTCAAGGTTCTATGATCACCTACAAAAAGACGGAAACGATTTTCCATCAAATAAAGCTCAACAATTGAAAAAAATTGATTATCAATTATGTGCTCTACTATAGTAGTAAGTAGAACCAAATATTTTGAGTACTATCAGATCCTTTAAAATGTATAATTCCTTTTGGAAAAAGGCCCAAAACATCTTTGCAAATAATATCCCACGTCTTTATGATTTTTCTAATCAATTGTCTTCCCTTAAACAATCAGATGACGATATGATATCCTTTATTGTAGAAGCTCAATCAGCAATTGAAGAATTGAATATTTTCTTGGAGGAAGATTCAGTAGAAAAGATTAAGAGTAAGTTGGATAAATTTTATATGGTTATGATTCTCCGGACCATGAATCCAGATTTTGATCATGATAGAGATCAAACCTTAACTGGTCAAAAAGTTCCTTCCATAGAAAGTTTAACTACACGACTACTCTGCACTCCAACCCTTAAGAGTAAAAATATTCAGGAACCAGTTGAATCTTCCGCCATGATTTCTACTCACGAAAGTGGAGGTCGTGGCACTAAAGGAGAACGTGGTGGTAAATGACGCCCTCAATGCACCAATTGCAAGAAAATGGGTCATACCCAAAAAAATTGTTTTTCTTTACATGGTTTCTTTGATAAGACTGCACATATTTCCGAAAAAAAAGTGATTAAGCCCAAGTTCTTTGATGAGGAATATTAGGAATATTTAAAGTTGAAGTCCACCAGCCAAGCACAATCATTAACAACTCCAAATTTGTCAACAACTTGCATTTTCCAATTTGTGGATTGTCAAAATCTATGAATCATTGACTCAGGTGTTTCTGATCATATGTCTGGTAATCCCTCATTATTTTCTTATCTTTCGTTCCTTAAAACTTCTCATTTCATAACTCTAACTAACTGTTCTAAAGTAGTTTCTAAAAGAATTGGTCATGTTTCCATTTCCCCGTCTTTAACTTAAAATTTGTCATCTTTGTTCCTCAATGTCCCTTTAGTCTCATTTCTTTAAGTCAACTAACCAAATCATTGAACTGTTCAGAAACCTTTAATGCCAACTCTTTTTGTTATTCAGAAATGTAGTACGGGTTGACTGATTGGCGAAGGATATGAATCAAAAGGCTTATACTACTTTGGGGCTAACTCATTAGTATCTTGTGTTGCATTTTCATCTCCTAAACTTCTTCATGAACGCTTAAGTCACCCTCACTTGTCAAAATTGAAAAAGATGGTTCCTCAACAGAGTAGTCTTCAAACTTTGGAATTTGAGTCGTGCCAACTAGGAAAACATATTAGATCGTCATTTCCAAAATATTCTAAATCTAGATGTGACTCTGCATTTTCTATTATCCATTCTGACTCTTGGGGACCCAGTCGTGTATCCTCTTTTGGTTTCAAATATTTTGTTACCTTTATTGATAAGTTTTCTAGACGTACTTGGGTTTATCTAATGAAAGATTGTTCTGAATTTTGTCTATCTTCATATTTTTCCTTAATGAAGTCAAAAATCAATTTGGAAAAATAATTAAAGGTTTACGGAGCGATAATGCCAAAGAATATTTCTCCACTACTTTTCCTACCACCTTAAAATCATAAGGCATCTTACATCAATCTATTTGTCCTCACACACCATAACAAAATGGTATAGCAGAAAGAAAAAATAGACATTTGGTTGAAACTGCTCGTACATTATTACTTGGTGCAATTATGCTTGTTCATCACTGGGATGATGCTATCCTAACTGCTTGTTTTTTCATTAACAAAATGTTTTCTTCTTCCCCAGACAATAAAGTTCGATTCTCCATTTTATTTTCAAAGGAACCAATTTTTCATGTTTCTCTTTGTCTTTAGTTGTGTATGTTTTGTTCATGATATGTCTCCAGGTTTTGGACAAACTCTGAGCTAGAGCTATCAAATGTGTCTTTTAAAGATATTCTCGTCTTCAAAAAGGATATCACTATTATTCTCCTCAAACCCAAAAATACTATATGTTAGCCAGTGTCACCTTTTTTTGAATCAATCAACTTCATTCTTTCCTTTGCCTGCACAGGATATTAGTTCTGTCAAACATGTCTTTCTTATACCCTTAGTGAAGTCCTTGGTTCCCTTTATTCCTAACAACCAAAATCCTATTCAAGAATCACCTGAATCCTCGTCATCTCCTCTTATTACTTATTAACACAAGAACCAAATGCTTAATCCAATGCCCAAAGGTGAGTCCTCTTCATCAGGTCCTTCCCAATCATCACTTAATACCACGACTCCTGATAATGATGACTCATGTTGGCCCATTGTCATTTGCAAAGGTACTCGTTCTACTCGTAATCCACATCCTATTTATAATTTCCTTAGCTACAACAGATTATTTGCTTCATAATTTTCTTTTATATCTTTGGTATCCTCAATATCTATTCTTAAAAAAGTGACCAAAACACTTGATCATCCTAGATGGTGACAAGTCATGATTTCTAAAATGCAGGTTCTTGAACATAAGAGCACATAAGAGTTGGTTCCACTTCTTTCTGAAAAGAAAAGTGTTGATTGTCGATGGGTGAAATTGACCGCCTTAAAGCTAGATTGGTGACCAAAGGATACTTGCAAATCTATGATTTTGATTATGGTGATACTTTCTCTCTGGTGGCCAAAATGACTAATGTGAGACTGTTCATTGCCATGCCCGCCATTCGTCATTGGCCTCTTTATCAACTGGATATTAAGAATGTCTTCCTTCATGGCGATCTAGAAGAGGAAGTCTACATGGAGCAACCTCCTGGCTTTATTGCTCAAGGGGAGTCTGTCTGTAAGTTACGACGTTCTCTTTATGGTCCAAAGTAATCATCGCATGCTTGGTTTGAAAAATTTTAGTTTCATTGTTCAAGTCTTTGGGCTGAAGCAAAGTGAAGTAAATCATTTAGTCTCCTATTGTCACACCGTCCCTAGAAAATGTGTCATAGTCATTACAGAAAATGAATCTGCTAGAATATCTCAATTAAAGGAACACATATCAACCATTTTCAAACCAAGAATCTTAGAAGTCTCAAATACTTATGGGGAATTGAAGTAGCCTAAACAAAAGAAGGTATTGTAATATCTCAAAGAAAATATACTCTATATATCTTAAAAGAGACAGACATGATTGATTGTAAACCCGTGGATAGTCCTATGGACCCAAATCAGATATAGAAGACTAGTTGGAAAACTTATTTATCCTACTATTATTAGACCTGATCTATCTTTTTGCAGTTGGTGTGGTTAGTCAATTCATGCAGAACCCTTGTATTGATCATTGGAATGCTATCATACGTATCTTGAGATACATAAAAAAGGCTCCACGACAAGGGTTGTGTTATATGAAGATAAAGAAAATACCCAAATCTCTGGGTATTGTGATGTTGACTGGGCAGGATCTCCTATGGACAAATGCTTTACTACAGGATATTGTATATTTCTTGGAGGAAATGTTATTTCCTAGAAAAGTAAGAGACAAAACATAGTTGTCCAATCATCTGCTAAAGTTGAATATAGGGCAATGATGTGGTTAGTTCATGTAGGTCCCTTGTATTGATCAATGGAATACTATCATAATATCCTGAGATACCTAAAAAAAGCTCCAGGACAAGGGTTGTTATATGAAGATAAAGGAAATACCCAAATCTTTGGGTATTGTGATGCTGACTGGGTAGGATCTCCTATGGACAGACACTCTACTACAGGATATTGTATCTTTCTTGGAGGAAATGTTATTTCCTAGAAAAGTAAGAGACAAAACATAGTTGTCCAATCATCTGCTAAAGTTGAATATAGGGCAATGACATCTCTAGCGTGTGAATTTGTATGCGTGAACCAATTCCTTCAGAAGCTAAACTTTTATGAGATTAAGAAAATGAAGACATATTGTGATAACCAGGCTGCTCTCCACATTACTTCAAATCCAATATTCCATAAGAGAACTCAATACATTGAAATTGACTGTCACTTTATTTGGGAAAGTTGTTGTCCAATGAAATTTGTACCGAGTTTGTTGAATCCACTAATCAACTTCCAGATGCATTAACAAAATTCATGAGAGGGCTTCGAATCAAATTCATTCCAAGCTTAGTACATACAATTTGTATGCTCCAACTTGAGGAGAAGTGTTAGATTTATTAGATATTAAATACACAGTTGTACCTAGGTTCTAGAAGCATGTGTATTTATGAAATGGTTCTTTATCTGTGCCTAGTTTCTAGAATAGATCTTTTCATTTTCCCTTTACTCATTATGTTTATGAACTTCCATTATAAATAAGAAAATCTAAGAGAGGGAGTTCAAGCTCTCTAATTACATATTTTTCTTTTTTTTTATATCTTAACTGATAGCATTTGTAGAAAGATTTTCAAGAATTGTGTTAGAGCACACATAATTCTTTATCTATGATGAATAAAATGATACAATAAAACAAATATATATATATATATATATATATATAGAATGTAATCCCTAAAATTAAGGCTATACAACATTTTCCTATTCCCTTATTTACACAATCATATGTTTAACAATCCCCCTTAAGTTGGAGAGTATGTCATATCATATGCGTCAAACTTATTACAAATCCAGTTTAAGTTAGATCACATTAGAGATTTTGTGAAAATATCTACCCAATTGGAGCTAACAAAGTCATTCGTGATTTATCCTAATAGCAATTTTTCTCTCACAAGACAATAATCCATATTTGTTTGATTAGTTCACTCATTGAAGACGGGATTGGATGCATAGTGAAGAGTAGTTTCACTATCATAGACAAGTAGATTGCCATGAATATCTCTAACTTGTAACATTTGGAGAAGTTACTTTAGCCATGTAATTTCACATGTAGTTGTTGCCATGACATGTTATTCAGCTACTTGACATGTCATTCAACTACTTGCTCTAGCAACTATACTTGGCTTCTCCATAAGCAAATTCTCCCTAAGAAGAATGCAAGAGGTAGATCTCTTGTCTGAAGGATATTCTACCCAATTAGCATTAGGGTAACAAATAATCTTGGTGTTGCCTTTATCCTCATATAGGAGCCTTGGGACTGGTATATTGTTGATATATATGAGGATGCACCTGAAAGCATCTCAATGACAATCACAAGGAACATTGAGGAATTGACTTACCACACTTACTACAAAGGTAATAATGTTTGGTTGTGTGATAGTCAGGTAATTAACTTTATCAACAGGTCTAAGATATCTTCCCCAATCTAGTTGTGGTTCCTTTGATCTGGATTAAGGTAGAGTTAATGAAACCAAATCAAGCATGGGGAGATTGTTTCAAGTCATACAGAGAGTGTGAAAGGTGGCATACAAGGTAAGATCCATCAAAGGTGATGAAACCTGCTCGTTGTTCCATGTAAACCTCTTCTAGACCTCTCCATATAAAAGTAACTTAATGTCTAGTTGGTTAAGTAGCCAATGACAGAAGACAAACAACACAAGAAATACATGCAAAAAAGTTATCTTGGCAATAGGGGAATGATGTCCCCATAATTGAGTACAAAGATCTAAGTATAGTCTTTATCCACAAAGGTGAGCATTGTGCCTATCAATATTGCCATCTAGTCCAACCATCTCGATATACGCCGACAACCAACAACAGTCATTGCAGGAGCTAAGGGAAACAAATCACAAGAAATATTGTACAACAATTCTGTGTTAAGAGCACACACATGATTCTCTATTTACAAGGAATTCAACGATACAATAGAAGGAAACAAAATAAATATAAAACATAATCACTAAATAAAATTAGGCTATACAATATTTCCTTGTTTACACAATCATATGTTTAACAGGATCCATGCAATTAACTTCCTGCATTATTAGTACAGTGCAAAAGAAAGAAACAAAATATACCTCCATGGGAAATCACTTTCACAAAAGCGAGATATCCCATTCATGGCTGAAAATGTATCAATGTGAACCCACTGTTCATCTGTATCATTATGAAAACCTGCAACAATTAAAAATCAATAGACATCAAAAGTAATGACATGGGGCAGTATGAAAAAGACAAAAACAACAAGATGGTTAAGATACCGTCCATAATTTCTATAGCATTCAATTTTTCATCTTTAGTTGAAATTTCATTTTTTTTAATAATTTAAATGAGGGTGTTTTCTGGATTGGAGTTGTTTTAGGTCTCAATGATTGCTAGTTTGACTTCTAATTCAGATGAAACGAATTCCGAGCAAGAGAAGCAATTGTATATATAACAACAAATCCGGTTACATCAATCAATCACCAGAAAAAATTCTTCCTTAGTGCGGCAGTAATCATAAGCACAAGCATGACAATACCTTATTTTTGCCTATAATTGATTCATTTTTCATGGAGAGGGAGAGAAGAAAAGCACAAGTCCATTAGTGTGTTTCAACTACACCAGACTCCATATTTATACAATAAATGTAATAAAGAAAGATACAATTTTTCTAATTTACCATGTTTACATGACCATTGAATGCAGAAATAATAATAGATGTGTTAGGCCTCTTATAAGTAAATATTATAAGAGGAGAACCAGGGACTTAGCCTTTTTAATAGGACTGAATTGTTTTAGCAGTTATTAATTACTTTAGTAGTTATTAATTAGGCATTGTGCACTATTAGTGGGGGCAAGCGTAACTGTCTCTAAGAAGTTATTAGCAGAATAAAAATAGGAGGAGGTGGGAGGACAAATTTTTAAGTGGGTTTTCGGGAAGGGAGAGACCAAGCTCTTAAACATCTTGGGAGGAAATCTTTGTACTCAATTTCATGTGTAATTTGTAATTCCATATCAGTCGAATAGAATATATTTCAGTCCCTGTTCTCATACCAGTTGGTGTCTATCAAGATGTTTCTAACTGCAACTCGTCAAGCTAGAACATTAGCTCATATGTGACCAGAGCTAGTTTAAGATAACAAGCAACAACTTGTCCAAAAAAATGGATATTTTCTTATGGTGAAAATCTATGTCATTGTGCTAAGTCATCCCCCAAAAATATGGAATGCATCTTTTGGTTATCACAATAAATATCACAAACACGGCCTTTGTATTGTCCTTGAGAGAATTAGAAGGATGAACCAAGTATTGCATCTTGGTCCATGCATGAAGTACCTAAAAATAACTCGTCAGTTCTAAACACCAAAGGGAGGCTTTGGCATGTTTATGGTGGCTATAAAATGTTAAATATTTTGCTCAAACTCCTGACCAAAGAACCATACAGTATTCTAGATATCCATTTGAGAATTGGGATAGAGATTTTAAATTTATTTTAGGAATACTAGTAAGAGATAAAGTCTTAAAGCACCTCAAAGTCACATATCATTTAATTTAATCCAGAAATGTCATATATAACAGTGTAGATACATGAATTGTGTGTGTTGGACCGCACATATGATTCTCTATTTATCAGTACTAGTAACTATTGAATTAGGTAAAGAAAGAATAATCTAACATAACCCCCAAATTTAAGCTATACAATTTTTCCATACTTACATAATCATATATTTAACATCATACAAAATGTAACAATTAGATAGCATAGCACCCATGAAAATAATTGTTAGAATAATAAACTGTGACCAAAGTATCAAGCTAAGTGACCCAACATTTAGAAATTCAATGGAGGATCCAACAGTCCAACAATATTAACAACTTTTGACAGAACTTGCCACAGTTAATTATGAAAACAGAAGCTACAACTACAATACATTCACCATATTAAGGGTCAAACAAGGAGCAGTTTCTTTCTAGGCAAATTCTAGCAAAATACTTCGCAGCCAAGTCATGGATATTTCAGGACTCATGTACTCACCAATTCCGTGCAATTCCTTTAAGGCATATCCACTAGGATAGTTCCAGTATGATGCCGTGAAACTTGTGACGGTGCCTGCAAGACTGCAAGATAGAGAATAAGTACAAAATAAATTATATATCCATCACTAATGAAACAAAATGATGAGTGAACCAACCTCACTAAAAGCAATCCCAACCAAATGAGGAAAAGCAAGTTCCAAATCATCTTTTTCTTATTGTTGTAACTGAAACGTTCCAGGATGAGTATTAATGAAGGTTAGCAACTTAAAAGGGTAAGAAACCAAGAATAAAGATATATCTATTCAAAAATGAAATCATCAGAAACTTTCATCTGTTTATAGAATGGAAATACAGTTCAGCTCAATCATCACACTTTCATTCTTTAACCAATGTTATCTACAAGCACAAACTCACAAATCGCAGCAGCTTCAACTGTTTGTGTCTTGCTTAAAAAAATTGGGCAGCTGTGCTGCATTTATACTTTCTCTTTCCTATTCTTCTTTGGTTTCAGATTTATAGTTTAGCAACCCAACCGCCTATGCAGACACCACTCCTCATTCCAGTTGAAAATACTCTTTCATTCTTTTTCTCACGTTTTTTTGCTTTTACTGTGTCTCTCTGACTCTTGATGAAGCAGTTTTTCTAAGTCAGAGAAGCAACACAAGCAAGAAGGAGAAGAACTTGATGCCACAATCATGGAGTTTGGAGCTACCACCACGACTCTTGCAAAATGCTCTCTAACGGCTACTGCATCTTTGGCAGACCCATGAACTACAGTGTTTTCACCACTCAAATCAAGCTCTAGGCTCCAAGTTTCTCCTCTCAATTTAACAATTACTGCAAGATTCTCAATGCCACCAGAGCTTCCCTCAGTTCCTTGATTTTGATTCTAGAACTTTTGAAGCTCAACAAGAGGAAGAACAACAACAACATTTGGCACTCAAGGCTCAATTACAAGGTCTTCAGCAGGTTCGTAAACCTAGATGCTGTCCTGCCTTCCAAGGAGCTAGTTGATGAACCTATAGAGAAGTTTGCTTGTTGAGTTTCTTTTTTTTGCTTTTTTGTGTTAGAGTCTTAATGTGACTTGGAATAATGGATGTGCTTGTGTGTTGGTGTTTTGCTTGGAATCCATATTTGATTTGGGAATGTTTGTTCCTTGAACTAGGGATTGTTTCTGCATCTCTTTCCCTTTTGAACACTTAATCTATTGATGAACCAAATTTAGTGTGTTTTCAATCAACAATTCATAGTATTTACTTTTTTCTGAGGCTCTTAATTATGATGTTTTTGTTGTGGGCTAATGATGGAATCTGATGCCTCTTACTAATTTGTTTGAGACTTGTTGAAAGGATTAGTGATTAAATAGCTCAAGAAGGATGGAACCACTCTGTTAACATGTTGAGAAGAGAAAAACTGAGAAGGATTATAATGAAGTCTGCATGTTTAAACTACGTGGAACTATTCAATCTGTAGAGGAGTGAAGATAATTACAAAATATTCAGTTCCCTAATTTTAGCCTAATAACATAAATATAGAATCATTCTAATTGATCCTAATATCATATCTATAGGATTCTGACATATCTAAAAGATTCTAACATAAATATAGAATATATAATAATCTCATAGAATGCATAGTAATATCATATCATCAATTCTTATTACTATACTTTCCTTGTTTATGCCATAAATATAGAATGCATAGTAATATCATATCATCAATAGATCCTAACATAAATATAGAATGCATAGTAATTCCATAGAAACAAGGGACAGCAAATTCATTTATATTTTAAAATCCCAATTACTTGCTTTCCCATAATATCCAATTTTTGTTGTACTTTAATATAGGTGATTATGCGGTGAAATAAGCTTAGAAAATACAAAATAGAATCCAATTACATTTTACAGACCTGTATAATACTCATAAAGAGGACTTACATTCTGTTAGAAGCAATTGAAGCAGACAAGTTAAATATTGGAACTGAACTTATGATAAAACGAAGCTCCTGCAATAGCCATCAGAACAATATTGAATACATATTTCATCTTGAAGATAGACACAAATTAAGCAATGGATTTCAGATTGTAATTGTAGTACCTTGTGAGGAAGCTTAGAATAAAGCAAAACAAAGGCAAGAACTGGGAAGGTGAAAGATCGTACCCTTCGGTCTACAAAAAGGCCAAACTGCAAACAAGAACAATGTCAAATAACTCAAGTTAGGATGTAAGAGAGGCTTTCTTCTTTTTCTTTCCCAATTATTTTTAATTTTGTTTTCAAGTTCGAGGAAGGTGGAAAAAGTGGTCTATACGGAAGGGTTGTGATGCGAATCAGTTCACATAGTAAAAGATCTTATTACATATTTGTAAATAGGGAAACTTATAATTAGAATATTTTTCAAATTTCCTTGAGGTATTCCTCATCTTCCTATGATTGTAAATAAAGATTGAATGTGTGTAGCAATCACACAATTATTATAATCCTTTTTTACACACCTAAAGAACTCTTCTAAGGCTACCTCTGATTGGGTTTCAAATATCTCTAAACTGAAGAAATAAAATCTAAATATTGTCTTAAAGTCCAAATAACATAAGAAACTCAAAAGATATTTATAGCCCAAAGATAATTAAAATTCCAGTTAAATAGAAAATCCTAGCTAAGTCCTAAGGAATTATAATTTCCTAAAATCTTAAATCCTAATTTAACTAAATTAAATTGGAAATTTTAACATAATATTTTGTTAAGCTCATATAACTTGGGAGATAAAATCCATAAAATAGAAAGAAATCTCTAAAATAAAAATAAAAATATCAAACATTTATAAGAATAACATAACACAACAGTCCTTAATGCTGTTGCACACTGCATCAATACCCTAATTGTCAAATAATTAAAAGCATTTCCCTCAATAAAAGAAAAATCTTAAATAAATAAATATTAAAACAAAAACTCAATTAAAGAAACTACTAGAAAGAATACAACTATACTTGAAACACAAATTAACTAGTTGCTTTAAGTGAAGTAAATTTATGTACAAGACAAGTATATAAATTGTTCTATTATGCTCATGAATCTCACATTGCTTAAGGGTTGTTAAGATTTCAACAAAATACTAATTGACAATAGGTGGAGTAATACAACAAATATTTAAACCATACTACATTATATAAAACAAGCGATGTGCAACTTTCAACACACCTCCTCCAACAAAGTCTGTCGGACCAGTTAAAGGCTACTTTTGACTGACAACAAAAGGGAAACTCTTGGTCCAAGACAACAATCGAAAAGAAGTTAAGCTTTGGCTCTGATACCATGTTAAGATCCCAATCATGGTAGTTACAATCGCACTAATCGTACGATTCAAAACGCAATTCGTTTCAAAATTCATCCTTGACGATACAATTTATTAAATGTATCATTTTATACTTTGAATCAAAGCTTGAATCAAAAGAATCATAGTTGAATCATAGTATTCGCGATTCAACTCTGTCACGCACAATTCTAGAAGGTGTGTTTAAAAGAAATCGATGGGTAAGCGAAAGAAATGAAACGAAGTGACCGAGTGAAATGAAAAAAGTGTGATGACATTTATTTTTGCTTTCAATTGCATTTGTTTGTACCATCATTGCATGCATAACACTTCTTTTCTTTTACTTTTATTTTTGTAAAATCTTTTTTTTTTTACTTAATCATTCAATTTTTCATTTCTTATTTTTTTTTTTTAAATTAAAGTTACAATTTAAATTATTATATAATTACTTTTTATTATTATTAATATTTATTTTCTATATAAAATTAGTTGATATCTTATTATTCTTTTAAATCAGTTTGAATTCTTATTTACTTTTATTTTTTTATAAAAAATAGTTGTTATGACTTTTTCTATATAAAATGCTTTTTTTGGTTACTTTAATATTTGATTTGCCATTTCTTATTTTTTTTTTTTTAAATTAAAGTTACAATTTAAATTAGTATATAATTACTTATTACTATCATTATTTATTTTCTATATTAAATTAGTTGATATTTTATTATTTTTTTAAAATCAGTTTGAATTAATTTTTGACTTTTTATTTTATTATTTATTTTTATAAAAAATAGTTCTTTTTAACGATTGTGTTTATTTTGTTGCTAGAAGCAATGAGTCAATCAAAGCGGAAGAAAGAAATAGATATTACATAGAGTCATTGTGAGAGTGGTCCCTCCTCATATACTTTTAGTCAAGTGCAAGTATTGTTCACATACTTGTTGGGGTGGTGTTGCAAGAGTGAAACATCATCTTGCTAGAACAAAGGAGAATGTCATCGCTTGTACATCTATTCCAGATAATATTAGAGACATATTTTTGAGGTTGTTAGATGATAAAGAAAAAATCAAAGAAGCAAATATGATAGACTGTTTTGAAGAAGTGGAAATCCAAGGTAGACTTGAGAAAACTTATTTAGGGTTTGATACAAAGACCAAAGGCATTGTTACATTGTATTTATAGAAAAGGAAATACAATAAAGAGGATATGGGTCTCATCCCAAACCCTTAACCCTAGTCTAAGGAACATACAAAAAGATACATGAACAACAAATTTCAACCGTAATAAAAAAAACATTAGAGTCATTTGCCAAGAAGGGGAAACAAGGAATTGCAAACCAAAAAACCATGAATGAAATGTTTAAAATAAATAGTTTGTGATTCTAGACATTTACAAATGCATATATGGCAATGCTTTAAATGGTTTGTATGAAACCATTGAAAAAATAATCCTAAATAGAAGGATTAGATTTCAACTTGATCAACAACTTGATAGATTTAAGACAGCCCAAGGATGGTTTGGAAAGCAACCTAGTATAACTTTTTTATTTTTTTTCAAGATTTCATTAAAAGCATAATTCCACAATTATAAATGTTGGTTATTTATTTGAAATTGTAGCTCTTCGTGAGAAAGTTATGGTAGAGAGGATAAAGAATTACAAAATCTAGCAATGAAGATTTTAAGTCTCACTTGTAATGCTACCAGATGCGAAAGAAATTGGAGCAAATTTGATCAAGTGCATACTAAAAGAAGAAATTGCTTAGAGCAACAAAGATTAAATGCTCTTGTATAATCTTCAACTTGAGATGAGTCAAAATGTTAGAGAGGAGAAAGGAGATACTTATGATCCTACATGTTTATCTGGTATTGAATTAGATAATAAGTGGATTACTGAAGAAGAGGATCCTTGCCTACCAAATGATGTTTCATGGATGGATATACATACATGAATCTCTTACTCTTAAAGAGGGAGCTCCAAACAAGAAAAGGAATAGGGGTATTTTTTTTAAACTATACAACTTGTGCTATTAGATTAATTATAAATATTGTAATACTTATAAAATTTTGTTGTTTCCTTAATAGGCCCAAGAAATTTAACCATTAAGGTTCACAAAAAGGAAAAATCCATTATAACAACAAATAATAATAAAATTGAAGAGATGTTCGGAGAAGTGGAGGAAGAGGATGAAGATAAACTGCAAGAGAATATTATACTAGATGAAGAAGATAATCTAAGTGACATTGATCTCGAAGATGACGAATGAAAGCATAACATTAAGATATTGGATTTCAATGACATTTATTATTATGTTTTGGTTTTATGGAGTGAACATTTTGACTTCATTCTAATATATGATATTTTTAATTATTTTATCACTTACTTTTACTTAAAATTATCATATTTTATTTATCATGTATATTACTATTCATAATAAGATTCGATTCACAATTCAAAAAAATTGTAAAAGCGATTCATGATTTGAATATCGATTCAATAACCATGATTCCAACATAAAACCAATTGATAATAAATGAAGTAGTCTAACATATATTTAAATCATACCACATGACATGAGACTGATGATGTGAGACTTTCAACAAGAATCAAGGTCAATTGTAATTTATGCACATCCTCCTCTTTTAACCCACCGAGGTGACTTTTAAGCATTGTTATAGAATCGAGATTCGAATCGTGAATCAATTTTTGATATTTTTGAATCATCAATAGAATCTTATTATGAATTTAGGATTATTATTATGAATCATAAAATACATGATAAATAAAATATGATATTTTTAAGTAATAATAAGTGATATGAAAAAAATATTAAAAATATCATATATTGAAATAAAGTTAAAATGTACAATCCATAAAAATAAAATATAATAATAAAATGCAAAATACTATTTCCTATATTTAAATCTTACATCTTAATATTATGTTTTCATTTATCATCTTTGAAATCAATGTCACTTAAATCATCTTCTTTCTCTAATATAAAATTCTCTTGCAGCTCATCTTCATCCTCCTTAACAACCTCTCCGACCATCTCTTTTCTCAATTTCACTATCATTTATTGTTATGGTATATTTTTCCTTGTTGTCAACCTTAGTGTTTCGATTTGTTAAGGAAAGAAAAACTTCGTAAGTATTATAGTATTTATGATTAATTTAATTACACAAGTTTTATGACTTAAACAAATACCAAGGTTCCTTTTCTTGCTTTGAGCCCTCTCCAAGAGTAAAAGCTTTCATGTTTGGTAGGCAAGGATTCTTCTTTGTAGTAATTCACCCATCATTTGATTTAATACTAGATAGACATATAAGATTGTAAGTATCTTATTTATCCTCTTTAACCTTTTGCCTCATCTGAAGTTCAAGATTATTCTTAACAAAGACAATGACATTTAATCTTTGTTGCTCTTCTAAGCGATTTTTTCTTTTAGTTTACACTAGATGAAATATGCTCCAATTTCTTTTGCGTCCAGTAGCACTACAAGTGAAACTAAAAATCCTCGTTGCTAGATTTTGTAATTCTTTACCCTCTTCATCATAACTTTCCCACCAAAGAACTGCAATTTCAAATAAAAAGGTAACATTTATAATTGTGAAATTATGCTTTTAATGAAATCTTGAAAAATAATTAAAAGTTATACTAGGTTGCTTCTTATCCCTAGTGTCTATCAAGTTATTGATAAGTTGAAATCTAATCCTTTCATTCTGGGATTATTTTTCAACAGTCTCATACAAACCATATAAAGCTTGAGTATCTGCATTGAACTTTTTGAAATTTGATAAAAATAAAAAATAAGTATTCAAGCTCATATGAAATTGTAATCTAAGAAACTAGTGTTATAGTTATTTACTTAGAATTATGGTAGTAAGCAGTAACATGAAAAGGTTTATGTAATTGCAAATTCCAACGAGTATCAATTATCTTCCACACTTTTTTTATATTGAAAGTCTTCATTCTTGAAATTCCCGTCTATTTGCTCTATCCATAACTTCATAAATATATGGCATGACAGGTTTTGAGTCTCCATCTACAAGTCTTAATACTTTCACAAGTGGAGTCACACACTTCAAACAATAATAATTGGATAGATTTCCAAAATCTATCATCACATAAAACAATGTTCACCAATTGTTTACTTCACTTTTACTAGCATGATTACTAATTGTCCATTCATGTGAGACAAACATAGATCGAAGAACATTCTTTTGTTGTGCTATACATTTTAGGTTGAGAAAAACAATTGCAAATCTTGTGACTACAGGTCAAGCTAATTATTTTCCTTTAGAATGCTTTCTATACAAGTCTAAGACCCATGTGTGCCTATAAATGAAAGTTGTGACTATTTTGGTATTTGCAATGGTATTATAAAATACTCGGAGTTGACCAATGTCTTCAAAAATTAAATCAAGGCAATGAGTTACACAAGGAGACCAAAATAGTTTTGTTCTCTTCTCTTAACATCTTTCCTACTGCCACAAAACTAGAAGCACCATTTGTCACAACTTGCACAACATTATCCTCCCCAATTTCTTTTATCACAAAATCTAATAGTTCAAATATTTGTTTGGTATCTTTGATCACATTACTAGTATCGATAGATTTTAAGAACATTGTTCCCCTTGGACTATTCACTAAAAAGTTGGTGAAAGACATCTTTTATTTTTCCATCTTTTCAACCATCACGCATCAAAGTACAACTCCATTTTTCCGATTCAACCTTATATTTCTCCAAACTAGCTTGAATATTGTCAACCGCCTTTTTCAAATAAAACACTTTAACATCATAATAAGTAGGAGGCTTTAAACTCTTTCCATATTCCCCAACAGATTTCAACATTTGGCAAATAAGGAGTTTCTTACCAAATTAAATGGTAAAGCATTGCCATATAAGCATTTGCAAATGTCTATAATCACCAACTCTCTATCTTTAAACATTTTATTAATGTTTTTTCCCTTTGTAAGTCCTTGTTTCCCTTTTTGGCAAATGACTCCAATGTTTCTTTTTTTATTACTATCTTGGATATTCACTTCTCCAAAACAGTTTATCTGATTTGCTTCTTTGAATTTTTTCTTTATCTTCTAACAACTCCAAAAACATGTCTCTAATATCATCTAGAACAGATGTATAAGCAATAACATTCTCCTTTGTTTAAGCAAGATTGTTTCATTCCTACAACACCAACCCAACGAGTATGTGAACAATAGTTGCACTTGACTAAAAATCTAGACTAAAAATCTACGAGGGAGAACACTCTCAGAATGACTTCATGTAATATCTATTTCTTTCTTTAGCTTTGATTAACTCATTATTTCTATCAACAAATTCAAACAAAGATAATTTTTTTTCCTGCAAGATAAAATAAACACAATCTTTAAATAGCAACTATTTTTTATAAAATAAAATATATAATAAAATAAAAAGTTATAAACTAATTCAAACAGATTTATAAAAAAAGACTAAAATAAAACATCAACTAATTTTATATAGAAAATTAAAAAAATAACAAAAATAAAAAAGCAATTATATAATAATTTAAATTGTAACTTCAATTTTTTCAAAAGAATGAATGTTAAAATAATAAAAAAACATTATTAAAATAAATTAAAAATAAAGTGCACTATCATTCAAATAGAAAAGCAACAGACTGGCACTGTCATATTCACTCACGGGTGTAATAGTGCATGCAAATATAAAGAATAATATTATATTATAATATAAATTTAATTTTTTAGAATTGGGTTTTCAAAATACATCTTCGTGCTCCACATTTACATACATTTCTTCTTCTACACCCAACCTCTATTTTTGTGCACACTCTCATCGTTTTTGCACACAGCACAACCTCTCCGTTTCTGCACACAGCCTCTTCTCGTTTCTCACACAGTATCTTCCTCTCCCTTGTTTGCTTTTCTTCTATTCATCATTCTTACACTTCTCAATATATAGCAGTTTGTTCCAATCAAAATGTGTCTCTTCATTCCAATCACCCTTTTTCATTTTTTTTGTGTGCATGACTTACTAGTCACTTCGTTTTGTTCACTAAACACACGCATCCTAGAATCATGTGTGACAAGTTGAATTGCAAATCACACTATTCAACTTGGATTCATCCTATTCAAGCTATAACACCATACATTCAATAAATTATATTGTAGGGTAAGGTTTTTAAACGATTCACAATTCAAATCATTTGATTCTAACTACCATGCATTTAAAGATAAAACCAAAATGGACTAGAGTTTAAAAACGGACAATACTTCAAACGTGGTAATAGAACTTAACAACATTATCATATCAGACATGAAATCGAGCCGTTCTTGTTCCAAGACAGAACATTGGTACCAATTGTGAGCCCGAGACTAGAGTCTCGGTTCTCTTTTACCCTTTAGTCTTTAGTTGGAGGGCTATATTCTGGTACACTCATGAGTCTTATATCACTTAGAAATCGAGACCAAAGATGATTTATAGACACCCTCTTCTCTTAGCACATTAAGGGGTCTTTTAAAGATAATATCATGATCGACTAAAGTTCCAAAGCAAACAATACATCAGGCATGATAATAGACCCTGATGATATTATCATATCGAACATGAGATTTGTACACTCTCGTTACTAGACGAAACATAAACTATGAAAAAGGAAGTCCAAAATAGTTAAACAAAATGACATAATTTTAAATTCATACTTGATAGCCAAGCACGACCCCACACATTTGTTCAGAATAACACAACTTTGCAATTGAAATAACTCTACAATTTAGTCATCAAGGGTAAATAATTTTCCTACTCTACAATTATTTATTTATTTGCTTCCCTCTTTAATTATTTATCGATACATTCTTCAAGGGAAAGAGCTATATTAATCAAACAACAAGCCTAATATTTGGTGCATTTACCATGACTATCCACAATCCAAATATCCTATTATTAAACAAGGTTTTAAAGAACATGCATGGTTTGAGTATAATATAAGCATTTTAGATATTTGAACTAGAAGAAACATATAGGGAACTAAGCAAACAGGTAAATAATATATATTAATAGTTCAAGCATAGATGATTGGAAAAATATAAGTTTATATGTGGTAGCTCAAATAGACAGCAAAATTTGGGTGCTACCTTTAGACAGTTTTTATTTGAAGGAGAAAAACCAACATATTTCATATTTAAGTTACAAATTATTAACCAGATCAATGGAAGTAGAAGAAACAACCATGTCAACCTAGAAACCTACATAACTAACAATTCAATCATTAGAGAATATTTGATAATCCAAGACTTACCAGTGAGAGTGGATATGCAGCAAGTAGTGAACGAGGAAGTGCTGAAGTGAAGTACCAATGGAAAGCATTTGTCTAACAATAACATTGTCAAGGACTGAAATAATTTATGAAATACAAATAGGACAGTGTTATCAAAGGCAACAGACAATATGCAGATTCTATATGATAACGAGCTCATTATGCCCTGTCCCAAGGCAAAACAGAGAGAAACTCACAATGATCAATAAAGATTACAAGTATTAGCCACTGAACATCCAAACCCTAATCCCAATACACCAAAATCCTTGTTCTTGCAGAAATTTACTAATTCATCCATCTCATATTAATTGTCATCTAAGGGATCGCAAACTTCATAAGAAAATTATTAATTACACAAATTACTATGATTAAATAACTTTCATTAACAAAACTAATCTTATTTTTAAAGAGCTAGAATGTATTTGTTAATTTATTCAAGTATTTGGGTGAGATACCGATAGGTTATTGAGAGAAAACGTCATTGATGCTTTCTTGATTTTCTAAAGTGACAACTATTTTGAATCAAAACTAAAATACCCAAAGAGACTTGTAATATGAGACAAAAGAAGTATAAATCTGTTTGAAAAATCCTTCTTGGGTCACACAGATGGCTTTCAGCAACAACCAGCACATAATTAGATACAGTTAGGTATTCACTTAAAAACAAAGATCTTAGTAATCCCAGGATTTCCAAAAGTAGCAAATGATTACAACGCAGAAGAACTCCAAAGTATGTGAAGGGGCACTGCAAAGTTTCACAACATCCAGAGACCCAATGGAAGAGCATAGCTATCCACATTTAAACCAGTCAAATCAATTAGAAAAATTAACCTCAAAATCAAATATGGCTTTCAAAAATTTAATAGAAAGAACAGTCATAAAACTATCGTTATCCTCTAAAGAGAGAATTGTATCATCAGCAAACTTAAGATGAAGACCATAAACTCCTGTAAACAGTAAGCCAACTCTAATATCCCTAATTATATCCTATCCACACAGACAGCATTCGAAAGAACACTTTTCAAAATATCAACCTCTAAAGTAAACGACAAAGGTGACAAACGATCCCTATCCAAACTCCTTGCTAAACTAGGACTTTGCCTCATCATTCAGCTTTATAAAAGATAGCAAAAAAGACATGTTTGGTAAAGAAATTTTATACAATAAATAGTAAAGTAGGTTTTTGTTCGCATTTTTTCCTGTAGAAACAAATATTTGGAAAAAGAAAAGAAAGTGAAAACAAGGTAACCTTTTCGTAATTATTTGTGAAAACAAAAGAATGTTTTCTCAAACCAAACAGAACTAGAAGAAAATTAAAAATACCCTGGTCATGAAATATGTATAACATATATTTCCATATTCTACAGACATAGAGTTGTTCAATATAAACTTGGTGAAGGATACTCCCCATTCAGAGCTTTTGTTTAGTACAGAGTTAAACCAAAAGACTTCAAATTCAGGCCACAATAATCTTTTCCACATAATTGAATCAACTAATATGGTTAGACCTGTAATCAGAAGATCATAATGTTAGAATTAAATTTTACCAGAACAGCATCCTATCATTCATAATTTATTTATTTAAATTACAGATAAAATTTAAAATAAAAAAAGTGTACATGACCAACCTATGCAGAAGAGGGCCATCCCAGTGCAGTGTTTCAGAGCACCCCATACTGAAATTTTTTTTGTCTTCCCTTCAAGAGATTAATTTTATTAGGCACAAAGTTTTGGAATTTTCAAATTTATAATAACTCAACCAAAATAGCAAGGTCAGAACAAGAGGTTAGAAAAATCATCAAACAGAACAATTAACTTCAAATACCAAATAAAATAAACACTGTTCTCCAAAAATTGATGACACAAGCATAGTTAACCAATGAAGTTCTTTATTTAAATGTCAAATGAACCTTACAAACAGCTTATAAAGTTAGAACTGTTCAAGCTTTATAAGCTCTATTTAAGTAATCCCTAGTCAATGTGAGAATAAGCACACATCCCTTCAAGGCTGCAATTAAGGCAGCCCAAAGAGGTAAAAATGAACAATTATGACAGCCCAAAGAGGCCACAATTAAGGCTGGCCACGGGTGGCAACTATTAAGGCACTTTCCAACTTAGGGATTATATGGTGACCCAAGTGAACATTTCAAAGACCTTGCTGATTATCCTATAACCTCTGAGAAACTGACAAAAGCAACAGAAACTCTCACAAATTGAAATACTCAATAATTCCAAATCAGATTTAATTTAAATTATGCTGGGAAATGTTGACTTCAATATTAGAGCTGTTGACAGGACAGCTCACAGATTACATTCCTATATAATCGTAATTCAGGACTCCATATCCCAATTTTTTCTCTATTTCATCCCATGTTATTTAATAATTCCAAACTCTTAGTTTTTTATATCTGTCTCCATCTAACTAATTATTAGGTCCATCAATTTAGAGAGTAATTTTACGAAATATATTCGTCTTAAAGGGACATAAAAATATATATATCAATACAACTTGTTCTCTATTTTTACAGGAACTGTTATCTTTATTTCATTAGTTATTGACATCTGAAGTTCTGACTTGATATGGAATAAATATATTACAGTACCATGGAAATACTTGCGTCACTTATCAAACTTAAAGCATAACATTATGGAAAGCAAGACAAAGAATACGATGCAACAGAAAACAATGAAAATAGCCAGATTTTTTCCTTCTTTTCTTTTTATATATATAGAAGTTTGCCAGAAAAACAACAACAGGTACATGTAGCACGAATCATCATAACTCACTGTCCTTCAAACCAAACAAATTAAAGAATTGACTGATGTCTTACATGAAGGGTAAGCACAATGGAAACTTGACAAGATCTCTATCAGTAGCCCAAGCATTTAAGGAAAAAAATGAAAAGCAAGTTACAAAAAAGCACAACATACCAGAAGGAGTTGCAGCCCAATGGAACCAAGAAGTAACAGCATGTCACATCTGAATACAGTCGTAGCAAAGATCTGATAATCCGAAAGTGCAAAGAGATTTATTTCAGAAAAGCCAAAGCATATCAAGCATACTATGATATTAAGAATTGAAAGGGACAACTAATTCCAAAAAACCATTCTGTGCATCAATAATCAATGGTAAAAGGTTAGACTCCCCTGTCTCAGTGTATGTGAATGCATATACCAAAAGATGATATATTAAACTAGTACAAATATAAAAAAAAAAAAAAATTACCACTTTCATAAAATGATTTAATTTCAAAATTATTAGAAACAAAATGATGCTGAAATATATAACAAAAATTTTAAAAAATAGTAACATAAACAATATAAAGAGTAGATGAGCTATTTAAGACATTATAAAAGCTTGATCACTTGAATCAAAGAATGATTCCAGAATTTCTAAGCACTTTATAAAATCCCCACATCTAGTTCAAATTATATATATATATATATATATATATATATATATTTGACAGGATCGTATTAATAAAAGAATTAGAAAGAAAATCAGAGTTTATAATATTGAAAGATAAAACTTGAGATAATAATAAGGTAAAAGAAACTTATAAAAACGAAATACATTTGCAAAAAAAGCTTGAAGCAAAACACGATTTTATTATGAAAACTAACAATTTTTTCACTCTATCTCCTCCATATGAGAGATTACATATTTATAGGAGAGTGAGAACTCCCTAGAAACTATTTGATTTACATTTTTTTCCTTAAATAATTACAAACTTTTTATTGGTGCTCCATATTGTCAAATCTTTTTTTTTTTAAGTCTTGTCTTCTTTTTTGAAAATCTTATCCAAATATTTGAAAATCTTGTCTCGTTCTTCCTTTAGTCTTGTCAAATCTTTTTCTTATCTTACTTTTGACTTTTCTTCTTTTTAAAAATCTTGCTCATCTTGTCCATTTTTGTCTTTTTCTTCTTAATCAAACATGTCAAATGGATTAGGCTCTTCCTCTTCTGGATCAACTCCCGAGTTGGCCGATGATGATGATGTCTTAATTAATTTTTCCATTTGTTCAAGACTTGTTGCTGAAGCTAATTCTGTCATTAATCTTTGTTTTTCTGCTAAAAATAATGTGTCTTGTGTTATTGTTGATGATGATGCCGAATCTTGTCGTTCTTCATAATTCTGTTGTCTACCATCTATTCTTTTTCTTGTGATGATATCAATATTGAACTTCTTCCACCATTTAATCTTGTCCTTTCTTGTTAAACATTTGAGATTTACATTCTCATACATTCGTTCAATTGTAAAATCCCAAGCTAATATCCATGTAATAGATTGTGTTGCCGTAAACGAGATTAGACTGTATCCGGAGGCAAATGAAGTTTTATTTCGAAAATAATCATATATCTCTCTGACTTGAGCAGAGAAAAGGGCTGGTAATGGTTCAAAGTCCGAGAACCATTATATAAACCATTTTGGAAATATACCTAGGGAACCTAAATCGCCTAGGTATTCTTCAACGGCATCGCAAATATTAAATATGATGGAAAGAGAAGTAATTTTTAAAATAGATAAAAATTAGATTAGACAAGATTTTGAACCAGATTATAATAAAAAAATTGGGAATGGTATTTTAAAACTATCACAAAACATCAAATAGAAGTTATTAAGATAAATTTTTATGATTATTTAGAAGAAAAGGAGATAAATCCATGAGAATGGAGAATACCTAGGTGATTCAGGTTCCCTAGGTATATTTGCAAAATGGTTTATACAATGGTTCTCGGACTTTGGACCATTACCAACCCTTTTCCAACAAGAAACTACAAGATTAAATGGTGGAAGAAGTTCAATATTGATATCATCACAAGAAAAAGAATAGATGATTGGCAACAGAATTATGAAGAACGACAAGATTCGACATCATCATCAACAATAACACAAGACACATTATTTTTAGCAGAAAAACAAACATTAATGGCAGAATTAGCTTCGGCAACAAGTCTTGAACAAAGGGAAAAATTAAATAAGACATCATCATCATCGGCCAACTCGGGAGTTGATCCAGAAGAGGAAGAGCCTAATTCATTCGACATGTTTGATTAAGATGAAAAAGACAAGAATGGACAAGATGAGCAAGATTTTCAAAAAGAAGAAAAGAAAAGTCAAAAGTAAGATAAGAAAAAGACTTGACAAGACTAAAGGAAGAACGAGACAAGATTTTCAAAGATTTGGATAAGATTTTCAAAAAAGAAGACAAGACTTTAAAAAAGAAGATTTGACAATATGGGCCACCAATAAAAAGTTTGTAATTATTTAAGGACAAAAATGTAAATCAAATAGTTTCTAGGGAGTTCTCGCTCCCTTATAAATATGTAATCTCTCATATGAAGGAGATAAAGCGAACAAATTGTAAGTTTTCATAATAAAATTGTGTTTTGCTTTAAACTTCTTCCGCAAATGTCTTTCGTTTTTGTAAGTTTCTTCTACCTTATTATTATCTCAAGTTTTATCTTTCAATATTATAAACTCTGATTTCCTTTCTAAATCTTTTATTAATATATATATATATATATATATATATATATATATATATATATATATATATATATATATATATATATATATATATATATACACACTACCCTAACAACCTTCTTTAGGAAATGACTTTTTCTCTCAAATTGATCAGGGCCAGAATATCATAGGTATACTCTCATAAGATATTCTTGCCCTTGCAAGTTTTCAGAAACATGTAAATCCCATGCACAGTCTACCTTTATCACCCATAAAATTTTATTATAAAATTGTTGATAAATTTTATGTTTCCCTCTATTCTGGACAAAATTGACCAAGAACATTTGATTATCACCTTAATTGTAACTTCACTCCTTTCTTTCTAATTTGCCTTTCCTATAAAAAAGTTAGGGCTAAGAATTTGCATATATTTTTTATGCTGAAGAATTAATTCCAAAGTCTCTTATAAAAAATAATAAGCTAGAGATCCATGCAAAAAAAAAAATCTAATCAAGGGCACTGAATTTTGTCTAAGCAAAAAATGTCAAACATACATGCCCATGGAACTCCCATGTGTTATATTGCATGGGCAAGTAGTAACATTCACATACAAATGAGAAATAAGAAATTTTGCCAATCTAACATAAGAGGTTCAGAATCAACATTAAGAAAAGATCTCTGAAAAATAAAGAAATAGTATCCATGTAATTGGTCCCACTTAATGGAAAAAAAAAAACGGTTGTTGTAAATTTGATAATATGAGTTGAACTTTTCTCTTTTAAATTAGCAATTTTATTGTAAGACTGGTTTAAAAAACTGATTCTGGCATCTGGCTTGGCAAAAGATGTATATGATGTAAACAGGGAAAACAAAATACATAAGAGTTCATAATATTCAAAAGAAAAATGCTGTATTGAGATGAAGCTTATATAAAGCCACAACATACATACCAGAGAGTTTAGAGCTGCATAAAAGCGTCCCTCAAACCAGTATCCATATGCCAAATTCACTACAAAAATAAATCCAGAGAAAGTCCAGCACCATGACATTGACTAGCAAACAAGAAAAATCCATTATAATATTGTAGATGTAAGTTAGAATATTAGAATAGGGTATGAAATAGTAAATTCACTGAATTGATGCAACAAAACTTTCTCTTCAGTAATTTTTTAAATTTTCTCCCTGTCCTTCTGACTCCCTATCAGCATGTTATAAAAATTTCTTATTAATTATTGAAAAATCAATCTAATGTTTTTAAAATACACATCGGTATTTTGCATATATGAAACAAATATTTTTTAATTTTTTCTTTTTTTGTGTCTGTTGGAGTATAGTAATCAAAGTGTTTTCGAGTATTAGCTCTCTATTAGTCCTTGTTTCTGCTATCTTTCTGTTTGTATTAAGTAGGGATTAGTTTTTTATTATGATCCACTTACATTAGTCACTACCATGTAACCAACTGCTGAGTAAGCAGTTGGATAATCCCTGTGCAACATTTATCAGAATTTGCAGTTTCTAATTCTCTCTTACTCAACTCAGAATCTATCTTCTCTCTACTCTACACTAGAATTGTAATAATGTCACCTACTTTAACTAGAATTCCATTCCATAATCTATGTATCATTATTTGACTGAAACAGACAATTTTTTTGTAGAATCTTTATGCCCTTTTTTAAAAGCTACCAATGCAATGACTTCCTTCACTTCTGAACTAAGTGTTCCCATATATAAATCTAGCATTCTGGGTCTTCCCCCCGGTCTTATCTTGTTTCACACTGCCATTCATCATTAGAAACAAGAAAAACGCTATCAGTAATATAAAGAAACAAGGCAAACTATGTAGTTACCTAGGCTCAGGGCAAGAATGTTAGGAAGCGGACGGGTACAATAGAACAGAAAATGAAACTGAATGGCAGTTAACATTACAAAGAAGGTTTCTACTTGATGCCCAAATTTATTCCTTATCTGCATAACAAGATCATTATTAGAACATTGAAGCACTGGTGAAGTTTTCCAAACAAATTTCATATTTTTTATTTTTTTAATATTATATGCCAAATAAATTAAGGTAAATTATATCTGCTGTTGAATCATTTTTTTTTATTTGATCAACAGTTAAAACATTTTGGTGCATCCACGCACCAATTATACAAGGGTGCATTATAGAAAAAGCCATGAAGCTAGAACTTCAATTGGAAACATATAATATCAGAAAGTTGAATAAACACTAGCTCATAAAAATAAATAAATTTAACTTCTTCAACTATTCTTAGTTGATTGTCAACAGAGGTCAATAGAAAAATAGAGCCAAAGGTACATACCTGATGTCGGAAGAATCTTAGTGTATATAGTATGATGCACCCTAGGGCCATCCGAACTGGATATCAAAAATAAGATATCTTAATGCATTTCTCACCACATTCTCAATAATCAGAGTGCGTGCTAGAATGAACATTGTAGGCATTTAGAGAAATTTGAGATTTTGACATGGGCAATGATAATAAACTCAGCTATGAATTCTAAATTACTTTATTTGACATGTCAATTCAATTATGTACATATAACACACATTCGTCTGTAAGAAATGCTCAGACAAATAGTATAATGAAAAACAAAATAAACCAGTGACATAGCAAAACAAGAATTTGATCAGAACTATTTTTCTAGCTAAAGATAGTGTTTTAGACTTCAAACTTCTTGTGGTGCGTTTGTTTTCACATCGGCAGAAATTCCCAGGCATCCAAATGGAAAATTAATAACTATATGTTTCATGGCAAACACACTTCATGCTCTTCCTAGTAGAAAACCCAACATACGTGATCGTAGTACTAGTCTCTTTCAATTTAAACCAAAAGAAGGGTGAAATCCAGAGAAAAAGAAAATGATAAACAGCACTCATCAAAATGAGGAAATCTAAGATGAACAAGAATCATAATGCAGTGGTTATCAAGTATAAAATGAAAGAAGGATACCTATGAGAAGAGCATAAAACTTTGGCAAATGCAGCAAACTTGCAGTCAACACAAAAGGAGCTGCAACGATTGACACAAGCAAAGCACCTAAAACAAAATAATAATAACAAACAACAATATCAGATACCATATAGTAATATAATAAAAAGAGAAGTACACTGGTAGACACCAGTTTATACACACCAGTTTTTCCCTATATTCAACAGAAACAATCCAACAGAACATCAGAACGGTTAAAATTTCAGAGCTAAAAACTAAACAAGGGCTAAATTAAAATTGGCTTATGCGTAAAGCTAATTTTTCTTTATTTTTTTATTTCTCTTATTTTTCTCTCCTACAAGTACTTATGAAGAAGTTTGTCCAAACAAACTCTAAATATGAAAATGCAAAATAAATAATATACATATTTTTGTTAGTAGATTTTTTTTTTTAATTTCTGTTTTAAGTAGGAAGTTGTTCTGTTTTAATAATAAATCAGGTCAGTTGTTGACCGATTCTTTAGGAGGTGGAGCTAAAATTTAGCTCATGATCTGGGCAGTTATCAACCCATGTTTCCAACATAGTGGGTTGAGATATTATTTTTTCTTGTTTTTCACTAGGCTATAAGATTGTATGGTCTTTCAAATATTCAATAACAGAATTTCACAGAAAAACTTACTGGTTATGTTCACAATTTGGTATCAGAGCTCCTACAGAGGGGCCTGAACTAGAAATTGAGTGAGTAACATTGGGTGAGAGTGAGAAACAATCTGCAAGGGGTCCGAAATAGGGTGAGCGTGAGAGAAAAAAAAACACCAGAGAAGTGCAAGCGTGAGTGTCTGAACTAGAAATTGAGTGAGAGTAACATTGGGTGAGAGTGAGAAACAATCTGCTAGGGGTCCAAAACAGGGTCAGCGTGAGAGAAAAAAAAGTAACACCTCTGAAGTGCAAGCGTGAGTGTTTGGAAAATCGTGAAACAATGGCAGAATCCGGGAAGTATGTGCAGCCAACAATCCCTAAATTTGATGGACAGAATGATCACTGGACAAAGTTGATGGAGAACTTTCTTCGATCAAAGGAGTTTTGGCATTTGGTAAAGCATAGAATTGCAGATTTCTCTAATAAAGTCAATGCAACAGAAGCAGAAATCAAGTTAATGGAGGAACAAAAGTTGAAGGATATGAAGATAAAGAACTATCTCTATCAAGCAATTGATAGAGAAATTATGAATACTATTCTAAATGATCAAACATCCAAAAACATTATGGAACTTGATGAAGCAGAAATTTCAGGGCTCAACCCGTGTTAAATGAGCACAACTACAAGCTCTGTGCAAGGACTTTGAATTGCTGCAAATGAAGGAGGGAGAATTAGTGAACTTATATTTTGCTTGGACCCTAAAGATTGTTAAAGGCATGAAAGCATGTGGTGAAAACATGCAGACTGCAAAAATTTTGCGGTCTATGACAATAGAGTTTAATTACGCAGTGTGCTCTATTGAAGAATCCAACAAAATGGAAGCTATGACAATAAATGAATTCCAAAGTAGCCTACTGGTTCACGAACAGAGAATGACGCTTGTTGTAGAAGAAGAACAGGCTATGTAGATTGTGACAGATGAAAAAAGTGGGAGAGGTAGAGGATCTTTCTAAGGCAGAGGAAGGGGAAGACAATAATTCAACAAAGTTGTGGTTGAATGTTTTAAGTGTCACAAACTTGGGCACTTTCAATATGAGTGTCCTACGTGGGAGAAGAAGGAAATCTATGCTGAAGTAGAAAATGGAGTGGAACAAGAAGGAGAACTCTTGTTAATGGCCATGGCCCTCATAGATGCCAAGGATGGGAAGAAGGTGTGTGGTTTTTAGACTTTGGATGCAGTAACCAAATGAGTGGTAATAAAGATTGGTTCTCACAACTAGATGAGAATTTTCGCCACAAAGTAAAGCTTGGGAATGATGCACATAGTGCTGTGATGGGGAAAGGCAATTTTCGGATGGTTGTGAATGGTATCACACATGTAATCTCTCAGGTGTACTATGTCCCTGCACTCAAGAATAACCTATTGAGTATAGGGCAACTTCAAGAGAAGGTTTGACTATAACAATTCAGAAAAACAAATGCAATGTTGTTCATCCTAAAAAGGGGATGATTATGGAAGTGAATATGAGCAGTAGCAGAATGTTTGTGCTGACAGCCTCTATGGCAGCAACAAACACAACATGTTTCCAAGTGGAATTGGAACATGATTCTAGCTATGGCACAATCAACTAGGACATTTAAGCTATGATGGCTTAAAAACACTTGTTTCTAAACAAATGGTGAATGAGCTGCCTTCTATCACAACTCCCCGAGATCTGTTCACAGACTGCCAAGCTGAAAAACAACACCAAAATGCAATGTCAAGGAAAAGCCTATGGAGAGCAACAGAGAAATTACAGCTTGTTCATGATGATCTATGCGTGCCTATTCAACCTACATCAAATAGCACAAGAAATACTTCCTAAGTTTTATTGATGACCTATCACGTAAAACTTGAGTATATTTTTTGAGTGAGAAATCAGAAACTTTTTCTTTCTTTAAAAGTTTCAAATTACTGGTGGAAGAGGAGGCTGGAGAAAGCATCATTTGTTTGTGGACAGATAGAACGGGAGAATTTACTTCCAATGCATTTGAAGAATTTTGCAAAAACCATGGCATATGAATACAGTTGACAGCAGCTTATACTCCTCAGCAAAATGGAGTAGCTAAGAGGAAAAATAGAACCATCATGAATATGGTTCAGTCTATGCTAATAGGAAGACATGTTCAACAAATATTTTGGTCAGAGGCAACAAGATGGTGTGTTCACATTCTCAAAAGAAGTTCCACAATGGTGGTGCAGGACAAAACCCCTAAAGAAGCATGGAGTGGAGTGAAGTCGTCTGTTGAGTATTTTTGGGTGTTTGGATGTCTAGTTCATGTCCATACACCAAATCAGCAGCAGATCAAGCTGGATGATAAGAGGCAAGAAATGTGCTTTCCTTGGAATTTGTGATGAATCAAAGACATACAGATTATTTGATCCAGTTAATAAAAGGGTCATCATTAGCAAAGATGTAATATTTGAAGAACCAAAAGGATGGAACTAGGAGCAGAATGAAACAACAAATCAGCAAGATACTTTGGACTGGGGAGAAAATGAAGCTTATGATAGTGACACTGAGGAACAACTTGAGCAAAATGAAGTAGGGGGTTTGGAACAGTAAATAGCAGAAATACCAAGTGCAGGAAATACTAGAACTAACTCCAGTCAAGTTTATAATGAGTCTCATATTCCAACTCTTGATATTCCGGTTGAAGGGAGGGCTAGAAGGTATACGAGAGAACCAATTTGGATGGTTGATTATGAAAGGGGAGAAGACCTATCAGATGATGATAACATAAATGCAATGATGGTGTCAGAGGATGATCCAGTGAAATTTTAAGAAATTGTCAAATTGACTTATTTACCAACAGGAGTAAAGCCAATTGGAGTCAAATGGATATTAAAAACCAAACTCAAAGAGAATGGAGAAATTGACAAATCTAAAGTAAGGCTGGTAGCAAAGGGGTATGCACAACAATATAGGGTGGACTACACAAAAGTGTTTGCACCGGTTGCAAAACTTGATACCATAAGTATAATACTCTCCATAACAGCTCAACATGGTTGGAGTATCTTTCAACTAGACGTGAAGAAGCCTTTCTTCATGGAGAACTCAAGGAAGAAATATGTGCAGCAGCCAATTGGTTTTACGAAGATAGATGAAGAAGAAAAGGTATACAAGCTAAAGAAGGCATTGTATGGGCTCAAACAAGCACCAAGAACCTGGTACAATAAGATAGAATTCCTATGTAATGGTTTTGAAAGGTGTTTTTGTGAATACACGTTGTTTACAAAATCAATAGAAGGAGGTAAAATTTTAATTGTAAGTTTGTATGTTGATGATTTAATATACACTGGAAATGATGAGAGCATGTGTGATGATTTTAGAAGTTCTATGATGTCAAAATTTGACATGTTTGATCTAGGAAGGATGAGGTATTTTCTTGGAGTTGAATTTTGCAAAATACATGGAATTTTTATGTGTAAAAGGAAGTACACTCAAGATGTATTGTTTCGGTTTGGCATGAAGGATTGCAATGCTGTCAAAAATCCAATTGTTCCAGGTACAAAACTGTCAAGAAATGGTGCAGGGGCCAAAGTGGATGCTACTTTATTCAAACAAGTAGTTGGAAGCCTCATATACTTGATTGCAACTCTATCCAAACTTGATGTATGTAGTCAGCCTAATTAGCAGAATCATGGCCAACCCAAGAGAGGATCACTGGTCTGCAACCAAAAGAATATTGAGATACTTAAAAGGCACTACCGAGCTTGGCATATACTAAAAGAAAGGGGACAGCACAAACATAGTGGCTTATACAGATAGTGATTTTGCTGGAGGCATTGATGATAGGAAGAGTACTTATGGATTTGTGTTTTTCTTAGGGCTTGGAGCATTTTCATGGTCTTCAAAAAAAAAAAACAGTGGTGACATTATCTACAACAGAAGCTAAATATATAGTTGTTGCATCTTGTGCTTGTCAATGTATATGGATTAAAAGGATAATGGAGACTCTCGGTTTCAAAAATCATAATAACATTCTAGTTTTATGTGACAGTAATTCAGTTATTCAATTGTCTAAAAATCCAATTTTTCATGGAAGAAGTAAACATATAGACATGAAATTTCAATTCTTAAGAGACCTTGTTAAGGATGGAAGCATTGAGTTGAGCTACTGCAGCACACAGGATCAAATAGCTGATATAATGACCAAACCACTCAAATTGGAGTGGTTCCTAAAATTTAGAAGCATGTTGGGCGTGATTGAAGCATCAGAAGTAAACTAGATGTTTTTCTTAGCATTTAGTTTAAGGGAGGGAATGTTAGTAGATATTTGTTTTTGAATTTCTGTTTTAAGTAGGAAGTTGTTCTGTTTTAATAATAAATCAGGTCAGCTGTTGACCGATTCTTTAGGAGCTGGAGCTAAAAGTTGGCTCATGATCTGGGCAATTATCAACCCATGTTTCCTGCGTGAAATTAGTGGGTTGAGATATTATTTTTCTTGTTTTTCACTAGGCTATAAGATTGTATGGTCTTTTAGTATTCAATAACAGAATTTAAGTACAGAATTTCACAGAAAAACTTACCGGTTGTGTTCACAATTTTGAAATAAATGGCTAGAAAATGAAAAAAAAAAAATTTATTACCTAGGAAAGTGCGAGGAACCACCCCAGGGAATTCCAGATGATCATACTATTAACAGAAACGTTAAAAATATTCTCAGTTGAGTCCAATAATATATCAATTAATAGAGTTTATAAAGTAAACTACAAAACAAAGTAAACTCACACTGTCTAAGTTAGTCCGGTGATAGAGAATATCGTGCATTGCCTTAAGGAACACAAATAAAATAATAAATAAACAAAAAAAATACAATAAAAAAATTAACCACACAAATTGAGGAAGAAGGAGAGAAAGACCTGAACATTGAAACTCTCTTCGACCTTAGTGTAAGGAACGGTGAGAACGTATAAAGCCGCAATTGATCCCAACAGCAAATCGTAACCATATCGCTGCAGAAAAGTCTCCGATTTCGAATTGGAAGCCATTGTCGTTCGGTTTGTTGCTGAGTCAGTGCAGAATACCAGAGACTCGAAAAAATACGAAATAGGTTTGTGGGCCTTTCAGAAGAATTGGGCTTACTCTTCCAAGCCCTATTGGTTATGGGCTTTGAAACTTGGCATTCTCAATTTTCTATTTAAACCGAAGGCTTCTCTTCTTTTATATAATATTTTTTAACATCACATAAATCATTTTAAATTTAAAAATTTAAAGGAGTTTTCACAAGTTTAATAAAATAATATTTTTATAATATATAAATATATAAAAATTATTAATAATAATAAATTTTATAAAAATAATAGTAATAATAAAATAGAAATAAAAATTATAAATATAAATATCTTAAAAAATAAAAATAAAAAGTTATAAAAATATAATAAAATAATTATTTTTTAAAAATTTCATAAAAAATTATCTTAATCTTTTTTAATAAAATTGATTTAACTTAAAAATATAGTTAATTTTTTATTTTTATTGATTTTTCGATTTTATACTATTTCAATTAAAATATGATTTATTAGACATGAAGAAGAGATGAAATTTTCAATAATAAAAAATTCATTTCATTGGTTTTTTTTTTCACTGAATGGGTGAATTTTTTAAAAATTTACCAAAGATGGATAAATCTAAGGAGGATGGCACAAGTTTTCTTAAAAAATTGTAATTTATAACTCGAATTAAATTATTTTTTATTTTTTAAAATAAATCTTAGGAGGATGGCACAAGTTTTCTTAAAAATATTATAATTGATGACTCGAATTAAATTATTATTTTTTAAATAGTAGTAGATAACACGACCTTTTTTTTAATAAAAATATAATAATACTTAAAATTTTGAAATTTTTTAATATTAATAAAAATGATTTATAGTATATAAAGTTAAATTGAAAATTATTTAGTTCATGTGTTTCACTTTGTTGAGATTTATATATATATACACGTTAGGATTACCATTTTGCCAAAAGTTATAGTTATTAGTTAGAGTACGACTTTTTTTACTTAACAATAACACTTCAAAGTGGTCCGACTCACTTAATCTTTGCTACCATATATAATTGATATTACCTGCAATAATATATACTAAATAATATGTATATATAATAAATAATAAATATATACAATAATAAATAGTAAATATAATAATATTACAATAAATATATACTCTAAATATAATAAATAAATAAATATACAGAATAATTATATATACATAATAAATAAATATAGTAAATATAATAATAATATCACAGTAACTATATATGCTCTAAATATAAATAAGTATATATATATATATATATATATATATATATATATATATAAACTAAACAAAATATATAATAAATAATATATATAGTAAAACATATAATAAATATATAGTGAAGGAATACTTTGCCTATGTTATTATGACTTATTTATATAACCATTAAAGTTTTCTCATGCCACCCACCCCAACCAATCAGGAATTACATGTGCAGAAGTTCCCAACGCTCAATAATATGAAGGAATCCAATGTGGAGTTTTTTTAAGCTTTTCGTTCTGATCAGACAATGAAATTGCTTAATGTAGCACAATTTTGGTATTGAAATTATTTCACGTGACACGATTTTATTACAAATTTGTATGACATGACACAATTTTAGTTCAAACTCGTTTTAGATGGCACAACTTTAGTGCTTCTCTAAACCTGCTTCGTGACGTGCCTCTAATATAAAAGGACAAGCTTTCACTGGCACCATCGTTACAATAAAAGTGACAAGTGTATCTACAAAAGGTAAAGGAACTTAACTTAGCAACAGCACAAGTGTTATGCAATTAGCTAGCCTAATGGATACTCTTTAAAAATAAAAACAATGTTATGCAATTGACCTTACCAATTATGAGCGTTGGCCAATTCAAGAATATACTTCCAAAATCATAAGAAAACTAAGATATTAGTTATAAATAACACTATAACATGGATATATTTTAAGTTGTAATTCAGGTTCAATGGAACAAAATCTGATTATACAATTAGGTATGACAACGGGGTGGGATGGGGCAGTTTTTGTCTCCCTTAATCTCGTCCTCGACATTTTTAACCATCCTCGTTCTAATCTTTATCGGAGTTAGAAATTAAGTTTTCATCCCGTTTACACTAGGTTTCGGGTTCCACGTTCCGATCTATATTATTTTTAAAAAAATAATTACATTTATAATAAATTAATTTTACTATCTATTTTTTATATATAAATAAATATTTATAATTTATAATTATTATTAATTAAATATACATTTTAATTTATTATATTTATATTAAAATATGTATATAAAAGAAATATTTAATCATTTTTTATTTATAACATTATTATTATTATAACACTATATTCAAATATTTGAATACTTATAATATTATTATTATAATATTGTATTTAAACATTTGATTATATATATAAGTTAATTCATTTTTAAGTTGTCATTTAAAAATATGAAATATATAGTTTATAAGAAAATATTTAATAAGTTAATTTTTATTCAATTAGTTCGAAGTAATAAAATTTTAAATTATCAATTCTTTTAATCCTTTAAAATACAATTATTTTATTAAGATAAAATTTGATATATAATAAATAAGAATAATAAGATAAAAAAAATATGACATGATAAAACCTAATAAATATAAATTATAAATAAAATAATATTAGTTACTACTAAGATTTATGTAAAATATTTAGAAAAAGATAAAGAATAAAAAAAGATTAATTTTATGTTCATCAAATTAGTTGAAAAGATTGAAAAATAAATAAATTGATGGGAGAGATTAAGGAAATATGAAAAACTGAAATGTAAGAGAGAATAATGTAATAAATTAATTGATATAAAAAATTAAAAAAGACAACAAAATTAAAAAGTGGGAAGAAGAAAAATAAAAATTGGTGAAATATAAAAAAATGACTTTGTATGTAATAGAAAAAGAAAAGGAAATATTTTTAAAATATTAATATTTTAAATTTTAAATTTAAATATAAAGTCGGGGTGGGGGACGGGGCGGGAGCGGAGTTGGGGTGGGGATTGCATTACCCATCCCCACCCCGTCCCCGACTTTTTAAAGTGGGGAAAACCTGAACTCGCCCCCGTCTCTGGTCAACTCGGGTTTTTCCCGTCAAAGTCGGGACGGGGACGAGTCGGTCCTCACGGGTACAAGTTTAATTGTTATTCTTATATACAATATATTGTTCATGATTTTAACGAAGAAAATGATCATGTACACAATGATGAAGTTGATGCGCTGGATCCTCCATTACTTAGAAGTGTTGACCAACATGCACAATCTTTTAATTTAGGTACAATTATTTTTTAGGAATGTGTTTTCAGTAAGTGCAATTAAACACTTTCATATTGAGCAAGGTTATAAATGAAATAAATCACACGTGTTTATGAGTTATCTATTGATCATCAAAATTTAGACTCAAATGAAATTGCTCATATTATTTACGAAATTGCTCAAATGAAATTGTTCTTAGAGTGTATGAACGCACTTTTAAAAGGAGCACAAACCTTGTCAATATGTGTCTTAGTAAAAATCATATTTAAAAGAATAAAATCGTAGTTTGCCAAATGTGGCATGAAAGTAGAGACCATGTTACAAACAAGACATGAGTAACTCGAAGATATTGTGACATTTCTTAGAGAACACTAACAATGAGCCGACATGTGTCATGTCCAAATATATAGTATGAAAAATGATGAGTTTTAAATTCAAGAATTAATAAACCCAAAACATGGTAGACGAGTACAAAGATATATAGTCAGATTGCATGACTGGTGGTGTGACTGTGCACAATTTCCAACTTTCCGACTATCTTGCTGATGGAAACATTATCCTATTAACAGAGAAATAAGAGAAAAAAATCAATACAAAAATAGGTGAAAACTTCAAAACTGGAGAAAAACCACGATCGTAATCTAATGATAATTAGATAATAACATTATGTGAAATTTTTTATAACATAGACAATTCTTTCATATCCTTTGAACCCAAATACACTCACACTTTCCAAAGCAATAATTTAAATTAAATCTCTCAAAACTCTACTATAATAGTATAAGAAAAGTCAAATACATACTTAAAGTGTATTTGACTGAAGTGAGAAACATCATAAACTTTAAGTCCATTATGTAACTATTATTGCCCACTCTATTGCTTATCTAATGTGATATAAGACTTTTTAAAATGTATTATTTTCACCAACTCAACACTTGCTTACATGTTATTACTTGTGTTCCTCTTGTCACTTGCAAGTTGATATATATGTTAATCCAATATACGAGGTTAAATCGAGTTTTCAAAACTTATGAATATAAATTTCATTTAATATAAAATGAAGATTATTAGTCTTTTTATACTTGATCAAAGTTTCATTTCAAATCAAACTATACGACGTGAATAATCGGGAATACCTGGTACAATACATATTCACAACGAAATGTATCACCCAAATCTAATAAACCAAAAAAATATTTATTTTATCATACCAAAAATCATAATTATAATAATTATCCATATATCAATAATATTGTAATATTTCTTTTAATATTATTATATGTCATTTTTAAGTATTCTTAGATTTTTTATTACAATTTTTATTTATATTAATTTATAATAAATTGTAAAAAAATATACAAAACTATTTTTCATTAAAAAATTCATAAAAAATAATATTAATTAATCTCATATTAAAAAAAAAACTAAAATGATTTCAATATTAAAGTCATGTCATATATCATATTTTTTAATAAAAAAATATAACCATCAAATTATGCTAGTAGGATGATTTTTTTCTTTATGAACTTGTTCATGATAATAGATTTATCCATTTTAGTAATTTAAAAAGAAAATCGCCAGTTTCGTAATAATGTTCATAAATTACACCCATTTTATAAAAATCCCCAAATGAGGGTGTGAAATGATACGCAAAACCTTATTTATACTGTATATATTTCAACCATGATTGAACTTGCATAATATCCGAAGAAGAAAATTTTATATGAAATTATTTCATGTGTATTATAAAGTCTCACAACCAATCTAGTATAGAAAGTGTATCATTATATTGGTGCATGTTAAGACTTTGTTTTAACGTGAAATGAGAAAATATTAATTGAGACCATTTTTGCCATAATTAAGTGTCTTAGCATAACATTCAAAAAAAATTTAATTGACATTTTTTGTTTTTTCAAACAACCCAATCACAATTTCATTTATTAATAAAATAATAATTTTTAATTATTTAAATTGTAGATTAGATGTATGTTACAGAATGATTATATATACAACTATCCTAACATTTATATCTCCTCAATGAAACATAATATATTAATCAAATTTTTCATTCCAAGAAAATAAACCTCAGTATTTGCCGACGTTGTTGTTCTTGGCAAGGTCACCCCAAAACCGCAACAATGTTCAGCCCGCGTCCCACCAACGCGGTGACGCATCCATGTTTCAAATCTTCTTCCGAAATTCAATCCTCCGTTTCACCTTCTCTCTCTCATCACCCTCACTTGTTCCCTCTAAACCCCGTCACGCGCCACACTCTCTTAACCTCCGCGCCACAAAACCACGCGCCTCCCTGGCCGTCGTCGTTTCCGCCCCACCTCAAAGCGCCGCGTTTCAGTTACACCCCTGCAAACTTGACGCGCCTGAATAATTTATACCTCAAGTGCCGGAAAGTCGAGTTTGTACGCCAAATGTTTAATGAAATTCCCAAACTAGACGTTAATGCATGGAGGTGGAGTGCTATGATTACCAGTTTCGTGCGCAATGGAATGATAAAAGAAGTTTTGGAGTATATGAGGTTGATGTTAGTGGAAGGAATAAATCCAAATTTGGTTGTAGTGACAGTTGTTTTTGATGTTATAGGGAAAGTTGGTGCACGAAACTTAGGTAGAGAAGTTCATGGTTTTGTGGTGAAGAATATGTATTACAAGGAATTGTCTATTCTATCGGCATTGATCAATATGTATTGGAAGTGCAGCGATGTTGGTTCAGGTAGTCGAGTTTTGTATAGTGTAATGAAGAGGAAAGGTAAGTTTTGGATTGGATTGATGTCGGGGAGGCTTGAAGTTGAAATGAGGTCTGTGATTCGGTTGAAGAGGTTCAGGCCTGGTGCTGTAGCGGTTGCCTCTTTACTTCCCATTTGTGCACAGTTAAGGGCTCTGAAGCATGGGAAGGAGATTCATGCTTATGCTTTGAGACATTGGCTTCTGCCTAACGTGTCCATAGTGTCTTCGTTGATGGTGTTGTACTCTAAGTGTGGTGTGATTCAGTATTCCATTAAACTTTTTGATGAAATGGAGGGGAAGAATGTGGTTTCATGGACAGCCATGGTCGCTTCATGCGTTGAAAATGGGCATCTGTGTGAAGCTCTTGGTGTCATGAGGTCAATGGGATTGACGGAGCATAAGCCAGATACGGTTACAATGGCTAGGGTGTTACATGTGTGTGGAGAGCTGAAAGTTTTAAAGCTTGGGAAGGAAGTTCACGGGCAAGTGTTGAAAAGGGGTTTTGCATCGGTCCATTATGTTGCTGCGGAAGTCATTGATATGTATGGGATTTGTGGAGATGTTGATAAGGCAAAGTTGGTATTTAGTGTAGTTCCTGTTAAAGGTTCAATGACATGGAGTGCTCTTATAAGGGCCTATGGGTGTAAGGAATGGTATCAGGAGGCAGTTGATCTTTTCGATGACATGATTTCAAATGGTTGCTCTCCGAACCGCTTCACTTTTGAAGCTGTTCTATCTATATGTGATAGGGCTGGATTTGTTGAAGATGCTTTTAGGATCTTTGATTTGATGTCGAGATATAAAATTGAAGCATCCAAAGAACACTGCAATTGCATGATTCGACTTCTAACTCGCTATGGTAAACTAGATGAGGCTCTAAGATATGTAGAAATGAGTTCTCCTTATAGCAGAGGACAAGACAAGCAGCTATAGGGCTTTCTCTGGATGTTTTTATAGATTGTTAACATTCTTAAGCTATGTTTATTATTGACTTACCATCAAACTCATCAAACCCAGTTTTAGTAAGCAATGCTCACAAATATTACATAGCATCACGCATTGTCTGAATAAAGAATATCTTTCATGGATGAAGCTACACAGGCTATTCTGACAATTTCAGTGCTGTTTTTTTTTTTTTTTTTTTTTCATCTCTATGACAATAATATTTTTGAATATGACAATTTGCATTCTGGCCTCTCATTTTATGATGGTTCTGTTCAGCCGCTGCATCGGGTACCTTCTGCTTATTCAAATACAGTGTACTCCTTCGTTTGCTTTTCCTCATGTACTCTGATCTCAGTGTTTGTTTTGTTGCAGAAACTGTCCAGATTTTTGGATTCAGCTAACAACCACCAAAAGAAGTCTCTATAGCTTCTCTCAAGGAAATTGCCACCTGGTTATTATCTTTCTTTGCACTCATTTTCTTTCATTTTACATAATTTTGGTTGAAATTTGGGACCTTAAGAGGTGGCATAATTTGCTGGCCTGGAATTTTCTTGCTGAGGAAGCAAGATGCTACTGCTGACTGATGATTTTTTGTTCGTTGGATGTTGTTCTCGCGCAGCGGAATGTTCGCGTGGTCGGACAAAAACCAAGAGGGAGGTGAATTGGTTTCTTAATAAAAATTAGGTTTTCAAAATTTTCCCCAAATTTTACCGATTAAAAACTGCGTAAATGTAAATAGAGAAGAGTAGAGAAGATTACACAGTAGGTTTATACTGGTTCGGATCAAAAGACCCTACGTCCAGTTGCTAATCACTCAAAAGAGGATTAACGCTGTCACTAAGAACAAATTGTTACAAACAGATTACAAATGAACAGATAAAGATCAGAAAACACCTCTCTTGAAATCCACAAGAGATGAAGAACAACTTTCCCTAGAGACGACACAACACACAATCCACTAATAACTCCACTTAGTGATTCTTATCGCTTCTAGCCTCACACCAGGTTCCAAAAGCCCCCTTTCCTTGCAACAAACAGTTCTCCGGCACTCACAAGCACTTAACTTTTGTATGGAAAGAGTTGTTCTTATTTTACGAGTGCCAAAGCAGAGTTTAAGTAGGGAAATTAGGGTTTAGGAATTGGGGATTTCGAAACTAGGGTTCTTGGTAATTGGGTTTTCGAAAATAGGGTTAATTTGAAATTTAAAATGAAAAACAGATCGAAATAATCGATTATTTGGAGTGATAATCGATTAAAACGAGAGCCAAATACGTCGAACCCAAACCTCTCGGAATAATCGATTATTTGGTGAAATAATCGATTATCCATGACGGAACGAGTACAAAACAATCGATTATTTTGTCGTTTTAATCGATTAAAGCAGTGAGTTTGTATAGAAAGTGTTTTCTCAGCTGTTTTAATCGATTATTTACCTATATAATCGATTAAAGCCGAGCCTAAATGATAAATTTGAGCTTTTTGAAGCTTCTAAGTTACGGACTATGTACCGGCTATCTTAGACTCTAAAAATACGAGACTCAATCTTAAATAAAACAGAGTTATTACAATACAATTATCACCAATCTTCAATCTTCAATATTCTAAGTCTTTAGTTCTTGGATCATCATCAAAATGCATTCTTCATATTCATCAAGTGCAACATCAAGTCCTTGAATTGTCAACAATCTCCCCTTTTTGATGATGATCAAAATTTTCTTTTAAAGCCCTTTGTAATAACCTGTTTTATCGTCATACTAACAAACACATTAAACATACCAGATAAAATTTAAAATTGAATCATAGGCTTTAAATTTTTCTCCCCTATTTTGATTATAATAAAAAAGAACTCTGCAACATCAATCATAAGAGCTCCCCCTCAAAATATGCATAAGTTAGAGAAAGCTCCCCCTCAATCATAGCATGAAAGAAACATCAAATTTTATTTCATAATCATTCATTCATAACAATACAAAGATATAAACAAAATAAAATCTAAAATTCTTCACTATCCTCATCATTAAAGTGAGTATCAAATCTATTTTCTAATCTACCTACTCTATCATCTACATCGGATATACTGCGAATAATTTCATCATGCCGTGCACCGGAAAGATTGAAGAATGATTGCATTCTTTGATTCATGTCGGAAAGCATATATTCCATGGATTGTCTTGTTTCTTGATGAGAAGAGGATGTTCCAACACTTTGGATTTGGTTAGAGGGAAGATCAGTAGGCTGGAGGCATATCTTCATCAGAGTCTTCATTTGCATCACCTTGATTTTGAACGTCATCTTTGTGAACATAGATTTCATTGACTCGCACCATTTGAAGTTGAGTCAATGTGCTATCCAAGCATGCGGTTTAAATTGTTTGTTCTAACTGCTTGCTCACCTTCAACATTCACTCCTTTATATTCAAGAATACGGGATACAAGAAGGGCATATGGAATTTTGAAGGAGTGATGACGTTTTGCTTTAAGCATGGTCATTGTGACAAGAACACCCCAATCTAAAGGTTCATTATTCATTATTGCATGAATAATTCGAAGATCAATGGATGAGCATTGGACATGATTCGTAGCCGGGGACATAAAATCCATACAAGTAAATGTAGAAGCATGCGTTCTTCCTTCTTTAAAGGTCCGAGCATGAAGGATACGTCCAATCTCCATTGAGGGATTCCGTAGAAAAGAGCGATAAGTTAGAAACCTGTCAAAGTCATCTAGCTCACCATAAACGTTAATAACATCTTCTCTAATGGGGAAGTGAGCAACATTTTCCCAAATATCATCATCTAGAATTATGTTAACCCCTTTTACACAGGATGTAGCAATTTGATCCCTAAACTTGAATCTAGAATAGAATACCCTAACTAAGTCGGGATAGTATGTACCTTGCATTTGGATAAACGGGAGAACTCCTTGAATTTCAAGAAGATTAGGAAAATTGAAACCCTACGAATGAATTGCTCACCTATAAGAAATTTGGGAGAAATAATAGCTTTTTCTTTCCAGGTAGGTTAGAAACTCTTGTTGGCTATCCGCATCGAGAGATCCATCCTTCTACGAGAATTAGGACGGGAATGAGAGGAAGGTGCATATCTTCTTCTTGTAGGAATCTTAGGGCGAGAGGATGAGGCCATTTGAGAGAGTAGATAAACTTGAAGAGATTTTGGAGACAAGTGAGGGAATAATGAAGCAAAGAGAGTATAGATTGCAAGAAAACTTGATTACAAGAATTAGAAGTGAGTATAATTGAACTAGATGTCTCTTTTTATAGAGAAAATACTTCCAACGGTCATATAGTAGAGATTCCATGGCAAAATATCCGTTGGCAACGGCTAGGAGGCAAAACTGGTCGCATTTAATCGATTATATTTCAAGATAATCGATTATTTCAATATCTGACAGCTTTAATCGATTATTTCAAGCAAATAATCGATTATCAGAGGCATTTAATCGATTATATCACGAAATAATCGATTATTCCAGAGGAGAATACCCTGTTTTGGACGTTTTGAGAAAAAAATAATCGATTATTACTTCCAGTAATCGATTATTCCAGAGGCTATATCAAGTTTTTAAGGTTTTTACACATTATAACCTATGAATATCCTACAACACGAATTTTAAGCTATTTCTGATATCCCTAAGTCTCTTCTAAGATCATAGAATCTATCCTTTGGTAGAGGCTTAGTAAATATATCTGCTAATTGACGTTTAGTGTCTACATACTCTATCTTACAGTTTCCTTTGCTGATATTATCTCTTAAAAAGTGATGTCTAATCTCAATATGTTTAGTCCTAGAGTGCATTACTGGATTCTTAGTTAGATTGATTGCACTCGTATTATCACACATTAAGGGTATGTCATTTAAATATATACTATAATCCTCTAACTGTTGTTTCATCCACAGAATTTGAGCACAACAACTACCTGCGCAATATATTCAGACTTCAGTGGTAGATAAAGCAACACATGCTTGTTTCTTAGAATGCCAAGATATTAAGGATGAACCTAACAAATGACATGTCCCACTAGTGCTTTTCCTATCAATTTTACATCCACCATAATCAGCATCAGAATATCCTAATAAACTAATACAAGCATCAGACGGATACTACAAGCCAAATCCAGTAGTTCCTTTTAAGTATTTTAAAATATGTTTTACTGCAATTAGGTGAGATTCTTTAGGACAAGCCTGAAATCTAGCACAGTACATAGACAGTAATGCATAATATCGAGTCTACTTGCAGTTAAGTATAATAGTGATCCTATCATACCTCTATACATAGTTTGATTAACTTCCAAACCTGATTCATCCTTGTCTAGATAGCATGAAGTTCCCATGGGTGTGTTAGCTTCCTTTGAGGTGTCCATACCAAACTTTTTGAGGATCTCTTTGCAGTATTTGGTTTGAGAGATGAAAATACCATCTTTAAGTTGCTTGATTTGTAGTCCAAGGAAGAATGTCAATTCTCCCATCATAGACATTTCAAACTCTCCCTGCATTATCTTAGCAAATTCTACACATAACAAACTATCAGTTGATCCAATAATATCATTAACAAGTAGCACATCCTTGATCTCCAAAGTGTTTGCACCGCAGTTGCTTGATTGATTGCTAAAGGATGTGTGAAAACTTATATTCAATGTGTGTTTTAAAAAGTTCAAGCCAAACTGTTTTTATAGAAGATTTTCAAAACTGCTGGTTTAATTAATCTGTTAAAAGATTCTTTTAATCTGTTAAAAGTGCAGTTTTAATCTGTTAAAACTTCTTTTAATCGATTAAAACGCAGTGTAGAAAATTTTTTTAAGTTGTTTTAATCGATTTAAACGAGATTTAATCGATTAAAAGAGTTCTGATCGGTTATAACTAAATTCTGATCGATCATAACTGATTCTGATCGGTCATAATTGCATTCTGATCGATCATCCTGACCCTTTAAATGATTTTAATCGATTGAAACGTGTTTTAATCGATTGAA